CAATTATTATTATTATTATTATTATTATTATTACTCAGCCCTGGCAAAGCTTACAGCCACAGAGAAATGCAGAAAGCTGGAAATGCAACTTCTGTCTGTTCAAACAGGATTTTAACTACTTGTCAATGACTAGGATTTACTCTACTGCAAATATTTTGATTTTGCAAAGTTTAAGGCAGTATGATAACACAATTCATGATAACTGAACTATATACTATACTTGCTATGTAATGGATTTTCAGTATTGAAAATAGTTTAATGGATTACATGTTTAACACAGTTTGAGGAGCTCTGGCTCATTGACCAGCATTAGGTATCGAGGCACACAAGTTATCTCGAACATAAGCCATGGGTCTATATTTAGTAAAGGCATTACAGTATGTTGATCTGGCCAACAATGATATCTTGGATACCTTAATTAGCACCATGCCACTGTGGCCCTGTATCTAATACCGGACAATCAACTCAGGCATGTTTTATTTCCTTCTAACAATCTAGAAACCTGAATGCAAATCATTTTAGACACAGAAAACCATAACACTATGTTACTAATAAGTGACAGCTGTTTTTTTACAAATTGGTCAAATATTAAATAAGTTACATTAGATGTAGTAAAAATGCAATATTTTTTTGTTTTCAAATTGTTAAACACAAGTTCAAGCACTGATCACCAGCTACACTGTGATTCCGAAAGATTTCATTAATGTTGTGGATTTCATTATCTTCGCTAAATGACCATATAACACTTGCACTTGAAAAAAAGCAAAAAGTCTTTACGAATCAAGATCCTTGTGCTTTAGTAGTTTAGTAGTTAGAAAGGTTTAGTAGTTTAGAAAGGTTTAGTCGTATTTCTTAGCCTTTTATTGAAATCACGCAATGGAATCTGAATCGGTGAAACACTAGTGTATTTATTGGTTTTAAATTGCATTACAACAGTGGAAAACAGAAGGAAAACCTTCAAGAACAGCTGAACTATCAATAATACAAAAATAAACAGAAAATAGAACAATAACAATAGCTTTAAAAATGGATTACTTAGTATAATAAATACAATTCTAAGATTAAAAAAGCATCAGTCACAGGAAAACCAGTTCAACTGAAGTTACAGTAGTTTTGTGCAAATGCAGTTCAATTTAATTTTTTTTTTCAAATTTATTAACACCACCAAATAAAACAAAACAGAAAAAAACACCATTAAAATATTTTGGCACTTTTCAAGTCACAAGTATAATTTCCTGAATTCCTTGTAAAGATTTTCAATTTGAAAGTTTGTTTTCAAATTGGCTGAATTTTTTAATACAGCATTGAGGTAAGTATTTTTAAATTTATGCTTACAAAGTCACCACTGAAAAACTGGAGCCTTTGGAACTTATTGAATCAGAACATCTTCTGACAGAGCACTTCTGACTTTGAAAAGGCCCATCCTGTCTGGGCAACAAAACCAGTTGGCATTCAGGATGGAACCACTTGTGCAAATTGTTCTCGATTGATCTTGCTGGTCAGGTAGGCTTGTTCCCAGAAAAGTTAAGATTGAGAGAACAGAGGCACAATAACACTAGCCTCATTTCTACAACCACCTCTTGAATGCTAAAAGATGTTGACAGGGGTTCTTCTAATGAAGATCAAAGGTTCTATTGATTTAACAGCCAACAAAGCTTAAACATATTTTCGCTTATGTTTGGAGGCAACTATCTATAGCCTGGACATGGGAAAGAGATATACAAGCCAGAAGGATTTGTGCTAACATCTGCCTGGACAAACTTAAAAAGCATCTCATCTCAATCTGTTTTAGTTTCCTTCAGGTGAGAAAACTAATAACTAATAATGGAGATCTTGATCAGTCAAGACAACAGGACAGAAGAAAGCAATCTTCCTACAATGGTTTGATTAGGGTAGTGCTAGGATGGCGCATCAAATGTGTTACTAAAGTTGTTGACATGGTAAATATGCCACAATATGGTATTGAGCTAAGACAGATCTGTTTTTTCATGGCAGCCACATGGAAAGGAAGTGTAACATAGAATACAAACCTGAGTTAATACATCACTTACTTCCAGGGGGTATGGTAAATATTAGCTAGGGGGATTGCTCATTTATCTTTGGCTCTTCTGGCCATGTGGAAATAAATGCATCACACAGATTGTGAAGTTTTTAAAAGCTTCACAAATTAAAAAAAACCTTTTCAGATGAAAACAAAAGTGAAGAAATGTACTCCACATTCCACTATTGTGGCTTTTTCAATCTAAATCTATGCACTAACCCCTATGGCAACAATCTTGCCCGTGTAAGAACGGGTTCAATGAGGCCTTTTGTGTTGGGAACAAGCCACCTGTTTGCAAATTAAATTAGAAAAAAATTGATTGAAAAACATTAGAAATATATATATATATGAATTCCAATTTTCTTTAAAAAGTGCATATATTCCTAATTCTGGCCCTTCTATAAACCGATTCAACCCTTAAAAGAAAAAGTAAACTCTCAAACTGGAACATCTCAGGTTTATCAACCAAGCATTTTTCCTCAAAAAATGCCTTTCCCTTTCACATTAAATGTTTTTTAGTCCTATAACTTCAGCGTCTAGACCGATAGCCTCCAGATAACAAGAACACAATGCATTTAGTTAAAAACAATCAAAAACAAAGCTGGCAGAGCAGGACAACTACTTGAGGTCTGTGCTGGGGCTCCTGTGCAAACAGGGGCTACACAGCTCCAATCACAGGCAGGCCACAGCCTTTTCCATTTTAGGGTCCAAACCAAAGCTCTTTTAACATTTTTTTACTCTGTTTTCAAATCACATATATCCCTTTCCAACAGGCTACAGGAGCACCTCAGGAAGCTTTCTAGTAGACTTATCAGAGGCTCAGAAATAGCTTCCACTCTTCCTGCAGCTATTTCTGAAATAAATTTGTCCCTCGAGTGGCCTCCATTCTGCACAGCTTTACTTCTAGCTGATTATAGCACTTGTTTAAGAATGACTTCAATACTCCTTTCACCAACACTGTTTGGAGACAGCCCCTGCTCCTATTCCTGCAGGGAGACAGGAGACGCACATCTCCAGCTTCCTCGCTTTGCCATTACCAAGGCACTGCTGGACAGAAAACAAAGAAATGTCTCGCGTGCTTGTTTTATTTCAGAATTTTCCTTTAGTTTCATATTTGTATTAGAAAAAGGAATTTCTATACCCAGTTTTTAATTCACAGCATTACAAAAATATTATATAATGTAGAGGTAATTCAATCTTCACCAGATATGTAAAATGTTTTTTGTTTTCAAAGTACCAGTTTGGTGAAAGGCCATGTAAAGAGAATAAATAGACCTTATAAACCATTAATAGACATGCAGTTTGAATGTGCTATTATGTATTGTTAATTTAATATATATATAGTATAATATAAATCCTTCAGACCCTTTGAGGACCGCATAAACTGCATCAGTAACATGTTCCTCTCAGGTGGTCTTCATCTCGCACTGATACGATTGAAATGCACACTCCCACTTAAATTCACAGTTCCTACGCATGTCCCATTTTCTGCTTCGTTTTTAAGGAAGTGACGTGTACATATTCTGCCTGCTAGGAATGACTGCTTTGGGTTTTCTGTGCTTTCTGAATCCTAGCTGTAGACAATGATATCCTGTTTATAGAGCACCAGGACCACTTGCCTGACTAAATATTCCAGATATCACTCAACAAAGGGATGTTTTTCCTTTAAAATGGGCACATGGAAACAATAATATAGTTTTAAAAGGTCCTTGTAATAATACACAAATTATAAAGGGGAAATGTTTTCAGTAAACTACTCCTGAGGTATTTAAGCTGAGCACAAATCAAACATGTGCCTGGCACGCTGAAGGACCCACAAAGAAATCAGTCAAGCCAAACTGATGGACAACCCTCTCTTTTCACATAACTTCATCCAAAGGAACATGTTTCCAAAGTAAAGTATACACGAATACAGGGTTAGACAGCTGGGAGGGACAAGAAGAAGAAAAGGCCAAATGGACACAACAGGAGATTAGTCCGAGATCTCAGTGGACCTTGTATGCTTCTCATGCTAGCTATGCTAACATTCAGTGCGCTTAAAGATGAAAAAATCTATCTGTGTTTTAGCTTACAGTGGCAGTCCTTAAAGAGTATTCTGAAGGTGTACAAGCAAAGCTTATATAGCTTAATTAGTAAAATGTCCTTGGCTGCTAACAGCCCAATAGGAGTGTGGTGTCACCACAGTGATTTTGCCCCACATCCAGAAGCCACCAGGGAGGGTCTCCCAGGAGGCTGCTTGTCCTGGGGGTCTTAATGGACTGTGAAAGACAGCTGTCCCTCCAGGAAGTAGACACAACTGGTTTGTAGGATTTTCATTTGCATTTTCTCAATAGAGTTAGAGACAACCGTGGCACAACTACTGCTTTAAAGCATATGGCTTGATCAGATAATAACATCTGGAGTTCACAGGCAATAAGGGGCCAGCAGTGTTTTCTGGTGCTGAAGCATCTTTGGTCACAAACATCTATTCTTAATTTGTGCCCTCCTCTTTCTAGGAATGGAAGGCTGCTACAGTTAGCCGTGGACAAATGTAGCTTCAAGGTCAAATCTTTATCATACCTACATAAGCCGCCAGTAAAATAATATGCTCCCCTCTCAAAGCAAGGGACATCAAATCCTTCAGACTTCTATACAATTTGAATCTCAAGTACTTTAAAAGGCTTTGGAGGCAATACAGACACCTGGTAAACTGAAAGGTCAGATATTAATTGTGGGAGTTTTCCACAATGTCATTATATACATGCACATCTGCAGATTCCAAATACACAAATGTATTTGCAAGTTCTGCTTTCTAAGAAAGAGCATTACAATGTTCTCAAACTTCAAATCTTCGGGACCGGTATTATTGTCAGAAGGATCTTTATTTGGCAGAGTTAACTTGGCACTTAGAAATTCTGCTTCAGCAGCCTGTGAAGCCGCTATTTAAAACGTTTTATTACGAGAGTGCTCAGAAGATTTGTAATCATGGAATGCTGACTTAACTGAACTAGATAAATGCCTTCAGCTTGCAGTGCAAAAGACATTTTCTGTCTTAATTATGATCAACTTCCAAAAGAAAATGTAGCTCTTTCTTAAACGTAATAATTTCAATTAGAGATACTTAGGCTAGTACAAAACAGCGCAGAACTGAGACGTGACGATTATTGTAGCAACTGATGGAGAAGGATGTAAAAAAGTAAATCAAAACCATTTGTGCAACCAGTTATCTCCTGTAATACTGATTCTATCACACATGACAGCCTCGCCTATGTATTATTCTGCCAGTGAGGTGACATATTGTCCTGTACTTTGCTTCAATATCTTTACTCCATGGACAGCATGTATTCATTCAGATTTCAGACTATCCACAGTACAAAGTTAGTTTTCATTTCTCTTTGTAGCAGTCAAGTATCAGCATATCATTTTTTAGATTGTATTACTGATGCAAACTTAAATTATCCATGAAAAATTAATAACCTCTAAAGAACAGTTGCATTTTCTCTAGGAATAACAAAGATTTGACCATAAAACAGATCCAATATGGTTACTGTATTTTGCTGTCTCATAAATTCAGCTGTTATTTTAACACTGATAACCCCCTTTTGTTACAATTACTAGCTACATTAGCCACAAAGGTGCTCATTTCAGTAGATAAACACATCTCATGCATAGCACAGGTAATGTATCAGCTTTAGTACGTGCTATTACAGTTTCTACTACTGCTGTGCTTCACTGCACAAAGATATTCTTTAGGTATTCTTAAAGAATACCAAAGTCACCACCTCCAGCCTCAACACACAAACCCCACCCAAACCCAGCCCACCCTAATACCCAATGTCATGGACTCTTAGCTCGTATATGTGTGGTGTGGAATAAAAATGGGATGGGGCAACATTTACTGTAGTTTTGCATCCCTGCAAAGACATCATCCCTCTGTATCTTTCAGGAATGCAATAAAAATAGTTTTTAAATAATACAGAAACAAAAAAACAATTGGTCTTCTACTATGACTAAAACAGACATTTGTGCAAAAAAGGTGTCTCACATTTTGCAATGGAACACAGCTTCAACAAATCTTCTACCAAATAGTAGTGAATGTGGAAGGTAAAAAAGGCTCTAGTTGGTCCAAACAAACATTCTACTTGGGGAATGTCAATCTAGCAGTAGGTCTGAAAGGAAACACACAACAATAGCTAAAGGACAATAGCCTAAATTTGCCCACCACAGTTTCAAGATAAGAAGTCCAGACCTGAACAGATTACTTTTAAGTCCACTGTTGTGTTACTGACAACTTTTGAGTACTAGAAGCAGACAGAATTGCTCCATTAAGCTAGATATGCAAAGTCACTCATCATTATCCCCAAATTGTAATGTCACTCCTTGGTTTTAACTGTTTATTCTACAGTAGTTACAAACTAGTCTAGACAGAAGGCATTATGCCTCCAGGTTTGAGTATCACAGTGCCATAGTCTATGAAACATCTATATCTGTTTCCCTCACAAGTGTCAATTGGATAAACAGAATAGGAGGACACAGTATCAAGTAACTGCTGAGAGTTGTATTTTCAGAAAACCCAGCAGAGGTTTTGGAATATGATTTCAATGTAAGGTTCTACAAGCCTAATACAAACCTCTAATAACTATACACATCAAAGACACTAAGCTATGTAATCACTGCAGCAGTATTACTCATTTTCAAAAACATATTTACAAAATTGCATCAATTCCAGATAGTGTAACACAACATCTTCTTTTATATCTGTGGACCTTTACTATTGCACAGATCAGGTCAGGACTTCTATGGTTTGAAGTGACAGATATCTGTTCCTATGGCTATTAGGGAAAAAATGGTAACAAAAGCAATTAAGCTCCCCACCCACACCCCCTTTAGAGTGGTGGTGGCACTGCGTGGATGACCATTGACCTTTGGGACGTGGCTGACCCGGACGGAGTCCCCTAGGGGTCAAACAGGTCCATATAGCCCTGCTGCTCCAGCTCTCGATTGTAGCGCTCGATGTCTTTGTTGACTTCTTCCACATACTCATCAATGAACTGCTCCATTACTGGGAAGGACAAAATGTAAGGGAAACAAGATGCTACTGCCTGGCATCTCACAAACCACACACAACTTGCGAGTACACACTGCTCTTTTTTCAGAACAGAGTTATCCTTGCAAGCAAAACTACATATTTAAGATGGCATTCGAAGGAGCCATATAAAAAGTAATAGGATCCTTAAAATACTGTGGGACCACCGCAGAGGTTTAGCAAGAATGACCTACCCATTTCTAACCAGAACAAAATGACATGATATTACACGAGGACCTACTAATAGACTGGGCTCAAAGACACAAGACCCTAAAAGGATACATGGATGGAAATCCATTTTCTCCCCGAAGTAGTTTACAAACTGGGTCCCATTATAGTAGTACCCAGGTGGAAGGGGGTCCAAGTGTCGTGCCACCTGGATACAAACAAGTCAGAACACAAAAAACAAAACAATAACAGATCTTTAAAAAATGCACAATTGAAATGAAAGCTACTAAAAACAAGTTTTTATGATCTGTTATTTTATTACATGAATGTACAGTACTATACTACACAAGATGCATGTCATACAACAGGCACAACAGTATGCTGTTGACGAAGATGCTGATTAAAATGTTTGTGGACTTCTAAGCCTCAGTGTTACAATTGAACGTTATACACAGGGCAATAAAGGCCATGCTCAGAATTGTTTAGACGTGTACATACAGATGCAGCCATTATCTAGAATGCATGTCACAACTCACTTCAGTGGAAAGCGCACTGCTGTATACTACTGGAAATGGTAACTTCATTTCATCTGTTTTTTTTCATAATCTAATGATCGTATTTCTTTAAAAACATTACTAGATTTAAAAAAATATATAACTAAATTTTACATGTTATGTAATGTGACTGTACGGTATTTTTCTTCTGAAAATGGAATTACATGCCATGAATGGAGCCTGGATCCGAACTTTTTTTTAACTGTGCCTGGCCTTACGGCAATTCTCAGAAATTAAAGAATTTCATGAAGTGACTATAAACTAATGAAAACAACATTTTTTTATATTGCAATCTGCCGTTATATTGTTGAGATACTCTATGCACTGCTCAAAACATTTTAATATACAAAAAGTATGGCATCTATCTAATGGTATCTAGATGAAGACAGTGTACATGAATGGCAGTAATGCTGTAGCTGTAATGTACAGTATGGATAACTGTGGATATTCAATGAATTCTTTGATGTATGTGGGAAACGTACTTGGTGAAGGAGACACTTCCTGTTCCATTTTAAATAGACCCTTCAGTTAGAACATGCAGCTGTTTTGTAATGTTCATTCTAGTGGCTAGACAGGTGTCATATCCAATTCATTATCCCCTGCAATCAGAACTCCCCTTTCAGAACGCGCATATGTGGTGGAAAACTGTCTTCCACTCACGTGATGTGGGCACCTGATATATCTGCCCATGCACAGGCACTGTACTGTCTGTTGTGAACGTGATCGTGATGTCTCTTTTCAGGTTTAGATATGCATTAAAATAGTGGACGGTACTTGAAGGAATTGGTTGAAAGCATTTTTCTGAAGGGAGGAGCTGAAAAAGATTATGTGCTGGATAAAAGGGGTCAGAAATAAACTTGCAGGCAGGATGGAGTTACGGCATGTGTATGGGGATGAAATGGAAGGGAGTTCACAGCCTATTATTTTTGAGGTTTTGGACACGATCCTGTCCAGTGTTCCTTCAGTATAGCTATCCAAATTTGGGTTTCCAAGTCTTGTCTAAAGGAAACAATGTTCATATTGTAGACTTTCAGTGCCAACCCTCAGTACCTCCAACATTGAGGAGACAACGCAACCATCAAGGCAGAAGACACTCCAATGTTACATGAGAAAAGTCAGGCTGAAAGGCGTATGTGTAAGACCACAAGACCAACCATCTCCAGGAAGCTTGGAAAACATAAGAGAATGTAAAGATGCTCCCAAGCAGAAACCAATTACATGTGCTAAGGGTTTAAAGCCAATAATTTAATTTTGACATATCTCATTTGTAGTTGTGGTAGAAATGTGGTAACAACATCCTATCTCAACAATGTAATCATGGTATTTAAAGATAGTCGCTAGTATGCATAAAGTATGATCAAGAAATCACTAATAGGCTAATAAATATTTTATACTGTACTGCTTTGTCTCACAAACATACACAGCTGTAGTACTTTAGGGATTCATTGTACCATCTCACAGTTTTACAAAGAAGTGCAGTCCTGCATCAGATTATTAAGAAAAACTAAAAAAAAATGATTGTAACACCTCGGTGCCTGCCAGGGTATAACTACTGACACCTCGCACATTCTAGATGGCTGCATCTGTGATGTGTTCTGTGCACACTCTGAACAACAACTAATATTAACATCCATTTACTGCATCTAAATATTTACATTTATTCTCTTATAAGGTTACCTCCTAAGGACAATGTCTAACTAAATGCGCAACTAAACTAAATGTGCAAATAATTAAACACAAAAAGAAATGTGAGAGATGGCGCACTGTTAGAACAGAAATAAAAATCTTAAAACTGTAACTGTACCCGTGTCTACAAGAAACGTTTGAAAGCCACAAAACAAAAATCCTAAGGTCACAAACCACTGACTTAATTTACTGTAAGTGAGCATTTCTAGCGCACTCAGAAATGTATATATAGACTGGCATCCAATACTGGAATCAGCACCTTTTTAAAGTTTTTGAAAAGTCATAAAGCAAATTAACAAGAGTGATATCTGACACCCTGCATTCCAGAACATCTTGTGACCACTTATTAACATTTGAGAGAATCTAGCTAGGATACAGTTCTGCAACACATGACAGAAGCGGACACTGGAGCTGATATTACACCAATATTTCCAGAGGAGTGGTGCTTCCATTGCCCATTTCAAACACAGCGTGTTCCCATGTTTCAGAATGGAAAACAATGAGGACACCAAAGCCCTCAGTTGCTGCAATAGTGAGAATTCTTTCTAGAAAATAGTAGAGCTGTTGTCTTAACAGCTACTTAAGTAAAAAATGTAAACATGAATCTGAATTAACAGTACTAAATTACATACAGTTATACACTTTATTCCAAAAGCTTGCAGTATTCAAACTACATAACCAGTCCAAAACATTGAACTGTGGTAAAACTGGATGGGCTGATGTCACAGTGCTGTTAGGTGGAAAGCAGAACCTGGTTTGGAACGGTGTCACCAGTGAGACGCAACATATTGCTGGTAAACTGATAAGGGTGGTCACATGGCAGAATATCTGTCACTGATCAAGGTTAGAACGATCATTGTGTTCTTATTGTGTTCTTATTGTGTTATTGTGTGACTTGTCTGATGGGCCCGAACACAGTGCCCAGGTGTACTCACATGGATGTTCTTGATCTCCTGCATGGTCAAGGTCTCATGCTTCTTCAAGGCCTTCTTCAGAGGTCTCTGTGTACAAACATTTGTAACAGTGCTGTTCCTCTGCAGCGGATTAAAGTGCTGAACAAAATTGTTCACAAGTATTCCAAAATAGTCTGGTATGTACCTTTACACTGAAAAAACTACCTAAACCAAACTTGAACAAGAAGCAGTAATTTAGAGCCTTTTGAAAACTAAATGTCAGTAATATTACATAAAAATGTAAAGTAACTTAAAAGAGATACACCTTGAGCAAAAATGGATTATCCAAGAAGTATATTAAACATTTGTATTACTTGATTCATCCAGGGGCTAAAGGCACTACCTATTTTGACATAGTGGGATGTGTGGAAGCAGCACTGGACATGAAGCAGGAGAGAAGCCTGGCCAGAGGCAAGGTGCAGTACCTGCTTGGCACACTGCCGCAGCCAGTCCTTCAGGGTGCCCTCACTCAGGCCAGCGCCCTCAAAGAGCAGGAAGCAGTCGGGGCCATCCTGACACAGCTCGCTGCTCTGCGGCGGGGGGCTGGGCCCATCCTGCACGGGGTGGAGGCTCAGGCTGTTCGTCAGAGTGCTGTGGCTCACATCTACCAGCTTCTCGGAATCTGGAAAGAAAACACAAGACTGTAGCTTCTGAGGATGTCCAAATGAAGAAAGTACGATATTAGAACAGACTGAAGAAAATTAATTTTGTACAGTTTTAACAGCTACAGAAAAGTCTTAATTTGCTGTAACTATATTATGTGTAGTTCTGCATGTAACAGAGTGCGTATTAATACTAGTATTCTCTTAATGACTTTTTTTCCCCCCTGATTTATGTGACCAATTCATTCATTAGACCACATCTGGAACACTGCATACTAGTTTTGCTGTCACGTTGTAGAGTACATATACAGAAGCTTTGGTTGAAGTTTAATTAACACAAACAAAACACATTCCACAGCTTAAGAAATTAGTTATGAGGACCAACTGGGAGAAAATAATGGAAATGCATGGGATGGAGATTTTATTAAGGTTAAGGATCAGTGTGCAGAACATAATACCAATTTTTTTTTAATCAGTCTCCAGATATTTGTACAACATGCAAAACAACTTTTACAAACACAATAGGCAGAATATAAACAGTTAAAACTATATGTCCACTCAAGCATTCTGCTGCTCCTCTGGTCTTTTCTTTTTTTCATGCTTCCCCAGGGCCCGTACTTGCCGCATGTCTCTGATTTAAGATTCCTTGCCCTTGCTTGCTCTGCTCCTGCCCATGTACAGGCTGTCACCTGTCCCTACACCCCACACACTCTCTCAGGGCCTGCATTTCTGACATTCTCTGTGCTCTCTTTGTTCACAGCTCCCCACTCGCCTGTGTGATGTCACTAGTGCTCACACAAGAGATTAGTGACTATTTTATACAGCAAACATCTCTGATTGCTTTAATGCTAAAAAGCAAATGAAAATAATAATTTTAGAACTTCTCATGAAAATTTGAAATGAATACACAAAAGAGTACGCTTCTTCTTTATATAAATAGAATGAAGATGATGTATACACTCTATTCATAACACAAAGTGCCTATTTTACCTTGGTGACAAAACACAGCACATGTGACCAAGCTTACACTAGGTGAAAGAAAAGCAAAAACACTTGTGTTTTATGTATAGTCATAAGAAAAATACTCTCATCAATCAAATGATCAAAAGAAAATGGTACAATTATTACCAGAAAATCGGACTCTCCCCCGAATGCTGTACACATTTCCAGAAAATGGATTAGGTTTCAAGGATGATTTTAAAGCTAGGAAACACAAAACAGAAGAATTAGCATTAGTTACCTAAGTAATTCACTCAATTCCACATAATTCATGAAAACAATAAAAATCAAAGATTTAAGTCAAACTACCTTTTGTACAGCCATGAAGAAAAAGCTTGCAATAACTTGTGTGTGATTTACCAAATTGTATGCATTTACCTTTAATGCAAAATGTAATTTACTACCAGACAGGGTCAGAAAAATGTTTACCAAATGTCTTCAACAACTGATGTTACAGCTAAAAATAAAAACTTCATACAAGAAAATCAAGAAGTAGTAAAGTGGAAACTCTGTGGAAATGCATTTCATCAATTTCCCTACGGGATTAATAAAGTATTATCTATTTCAGATCAGGATCAGGAGGCACATCTTTACCGAGATAGTTGTGGGTGTGCGAATCAAGCTTCCTAATAATGTTGCTAAAGCAGATACCTTGGCTTCCTTTGAGATACAGCTGGATGAGCTCCTCGGATTAATTAACTATCAACTACCAAAGGGGTTAGATCGGTCAGATGGTCTCCTCTAATTCTTAACCTTCCTTACCACAGCTGCCATCCAACTTCCAGTTAAACTGTACCATTAAATTATTTCCATCATGTCTTTTAGAAAGCTACTTTCACCTTTGCATCTAGTCATGAAGTGTGGCTTTTCAAGAGGCCGGTGAAAGCGGATGCCCATCTGGATAATCGGTGGAAACGTGGGTCCAGATCGAAACTTGGCTTTGCTCCTAAAGAATGTGTAACAGACACAAAAGTTGGTTTTACTGATGGCTACCGCAACGAGTAAAACCTCAGGTTAAGGTTTGCTACGCATTAGTACACAGAGGTAAAAAGAGATAAGGAATCAGCAGCACAGGGCTGACTCGCTGGCAAACAGGTTGACAGGAAATGAAGAAGCACGATGGGAGCTCACTACATTTGTAACCTTTCTTATGTTGTTCTGTACATAGCAACCTCAATACAGATATCCAGCTCTAGAGTTTTTAAAGTGGCAGCCTGTGTTATACAAAGCACTCAGCTGAGATCTCAGGGCTATCAAACCCTTCATTAAAATCTCAACACTGCCAATATTAGAGTCAGCGAAATCTAAGACACAAAGTATTCGGGCCAAGGAATTAATGAGACTCAATTAGGCTGACACTGGCAGTACATCTTTCATGAGCAAATCTCCATTAATGTGTACTTTTAAAAATTGAGGACCCCCCTCCTTCACTCTATTTCAGTTTGAAAACCTAAGCAGTCCTTGCCAGCTCTCTCATGTCTCTGGTAAGTGGGGTACCTCTGGCTAATGGAGAGCAGAAGTCAAGACAGGCAGGAGTGAGTCTTACTTACCAGCCAGGATACAAGAGGTATCTGGCTCTCAGCATCTGGGGTTCTGAAAAACTGGTTTCGGACAAAATCAGCTCCACATCTTCATTCCTGAATAAAGTATTATACCAAGAATAAAAAATTAAATGTTTACCCTCTAATTTTTAACAGATGCAGTTAACTGCTGCTTCAGGGTACTCTCCTCTAAAGTGTGTACAGCAGTTAGACCAGATGAGTACTGCTCTCTCCAGACAGCCCGGATGGACAGCTGGACAGGGCTGAGCCTGCTTCACCTCCGTGCCTAATGGGAGTGCCCCGGCCGCTCCTCACCTGGTGACCGCGCCCTTCTCGGCCAGCATGAAGACAGCACTGGGGTTGGCAGCTCTCACCAGGTGCTGGACTTGCTGCAACAGCGGGTGTTTCTTTTCCTCAGTCAGGCCTGTGAACACCACACTGCTCACCACACCTAAGGGGAACAACAACCGTAGGAACAATTTACTTTTAAAACACTACGGAGAGATTTATTTAAGTCCTCACTAGTATAAAATGAAATTTTAAATTACAAAGTCCTCACTAAAACATTTAAAAGTTTTATGACTAAAAATACTTTAAATTTCATGCATAAATTTGATGCAGTATGAACTGACCCTGTAACAACTGTGTATTTTTTAACAGACATCAGATTGTTCTCACTGGAATGCTTTAATAGATGCTTCAATTTAATTATGTATACATAAAATGTCATCTTCAGCCCTACACTGAAGTGATTTCTAATATAGTTTCATGGACTGGTTGTGATGTGGATATTGTAAAATGAATGTTAATTTAATTTTGTTGTCTCTTCATTGGAATTACAGTAAAGAGAACTGCAATTTGGTACCTGACAATTCATAAACACAGAGCACCCTGCAAACTGCTGACCCTTGCTGGCTTGTCAGTTATTAAAATAAGTCTTAATGCACTATATGAACATGCAGCTGACATAGCAGTTATTCTCCTGTTACTGAGATGTTACAGCTTAGCTGATCCAGGGCATAAGAGAGGACCACAGACCTGATCTGATGATACTGGATATGTGCACAGTGACTGTGCTTTAACAACCTGTTTAACAGCTCATGATAAGCACACAAGCACACAAGCACACAAGCACACAAGCACACAAGCACACAAGCACACAAGCACACAAGCACACAAGCACACATACCTTCAGAACACTGCTCCAGTAGTTTTGGGAAAAGAAACCTAGTGGAAAAAAGATAATGATGTTAAGCTCTTTGAAGCCATTTAATTTCAGAATGTGGGTGTTATGCTTTTAATGTTCAGTGTAGATATGGACTATAGCATTGCACATACAGAAACAAGAAGGACAGACCTTCTGAAAGGTCAGGAAAGTAAAAATAGACTCACCATTTCATCACCAACACAAAGACCAAACAAGCCTGCACAAATATGAAAGGTAATGACTGCACTTAGGTATTAGTACCCTAGGCTTTTCGTGCGAGCAAATCGGTTACTACAGAGCAGAACTTCGAATGCCTTCTCCAGGTCACAGATAAAGTCATCACCCCTACTAATCCTCCAATATGTTATGAACGTGTGAAACCGCCAGGCATGCCAGTATTTTTGATATAAGCACAAGCTAGTTTTTATCCTTTCAGTCTAGGGGCAGAAGATATCTTTCTATTCTAAATATCTGTAATTGTTGTAATTTTTACATACAGATGCAGCCATTCAAAACAAGCGGGGTATGCTGCGGTACAACGCGGTAGGCATGTCGTAGTATACTGCGATTACCATATGCAAATTATATCTGAATTAGATTAGATGTTAATAGTATCCGGAATCACCTTGTAAAACCGGCAGGTGGAGCTGTCACCAGAAAACATCCGGATGCGAATCCTGATCACTGCTGAGGGACAATTCGTTCTTTATTTATTCAATTAAGAATTTAAGTTATATACTCTTTAGACTTTTAAATTTAAACTGTACATTACAGCATGTTAATCATTATACTTTTATACATTAAAAAGTTGATATATTTTATGAAACCAAGATTGCTCAGTTGGACAAAAGTACACAACCTACTACCTTTAACACAAATATTTTAATTATGCAGAAATATTTTATTTTCATTTCCTGCCGCCAGCAGTACTGTGTACATAGCAGGAAAATTCCTATTCTTTACTCAGCAGCGTGGTCAAACTATTTTTTTTTACAAAGAAGGCTGACACAGCTTCGCGTTATGAATCTGTTTTTCTAAGAAAACATGTCAGTGGGGGAAGGTGTACTTGCCCTTATTCTACTTTGAAAATACCTGTGAAACAGGTCTGTTTACAAACAATGTAGTCACAGAGAGAGAGAGATGCGATAACCGTGCAGTGCCAGGCGAATGCACATTAATGTAGGGCTTTTCAGGCTAACGTGAATTTGTGCCCTACACCATGCGGTACTGCTGTGTACATACAGTACAAACATGTTGTGATATTTAGAAATATAAAAAGTGTCAATATAATGCCAATAATATTTGCTATTTTAGTTTTTCAAAGAAATGTTTGTTAAAAGAAAATCGATGGTGACAGCTGGGTTTGAACACTTGACCTCAGGGTTATAAGTCAGTCACTTAAGCTATCAGGCCACCGAGGCAGTCATGTGGCAAACACATATCAATGGAAAGTCTTATACTGTACTACTGATTGTGCAACAGTACATGAATATAGTTATACAATTATTAATTTATTTAGATACGTGAATCCATATTATATTCCCTATTAATCCATATGTTTATGTTCCTAAATTAATATCGTTTATGACCTTCAGATGTGTTATGCTCCTCTTCTTATGCACAGCTACTAAAATTTCCCTTTAGTTGTAAAATTCCATATAAATATTCAATAGTAAGCAGATTAAAATGTGCACAGTAAAGAGATTAAATGATTACATTTTTCCACTACCGAGCAATGCACCACGAGTGCCCGTCGGCCATTTTGGCCGGCCAATCACGTACCGCGGTACGGCACGGCACGGTGGTGCACACGTAGATGCCCGCGGTACAGGTTTATACCGTGCATTTTGAATGGCTGCATCTGTAATAATGCAAAACTATCTAACACAAAAAAACGGACTTCCCAGAATAATTTAAAATGTTATAATTTAAATCTTATTATTTACACCTTCCCAGGCTTTGTTGGGTATGAAATTACTGTATCACTAAGAAAATCTGCACAGTGCTGTTCACTGTCGAACAGTCCTTAAGAAACTCACAAGGTGATTTTAATGGTGGACAGTGCAATGCACAGCTCATCAGCAATGGCACTACAATCAAGAAAGGAATTCTAAGCCTGTTATATGTCATGTACAAGTCAGAACAGGAGTGTAAAGGAACAGGAAAAATGGAGGATGAATTACAACAGAAGGCAGCAATACTTTAAGATAACAAAAGGTTTACGGTAAAGTTAAACAGCCTCCTCTTATTTGCACCCTTTATGTTGTTAATTCAGTCTCCTGTCATTCCTGAAGCATAGCTAGAATTTATGAGAACATCTGAAAAGCTGAGAGTTACTGATGTGATCAATCATAATGAAAAGCAAGGCATCTCTATTCAGGTTAAAAAGGTATGAACCTCATTCTGTTCTCAAAAGTCTGCAATTGCTTTAGAGGCTATCTGGTGCCAAAGCAGGACCATGAGACTCTACAGTGCAGGACACACATGGGAGAGAGGTGCAGCACACTATACAACTACTCACTCCTGGCTGGTGAAAGCAGTCTTTAAATTCACTTTCAATGTGAATTTACATATCAAAACTTGTATGCAAACCATGGAATATGAATTGTTATAAAGGAGTACAAGCAGACTGTGTATTGTCCTCAACTTCGCTGAGGGAAAAGAATGTCAGGCCACCCAAGGCATCGAATGGTTGAGAAGCTTATGTCTTTAAGAGCCTACAGGCCTACAGCTGTAAGCAGTCAATTTAAGGGCTCTGCTCCCTATGGGTGCCGAGTTGTGCCCACCTGTGTTCCATGTAGGAGCTGAGGGGATCCACACAAGCTGTGACCGCGCCTATCGTGAAGGCAGACTGGACACCTGGGTCGGGGTGGGACTGCAAGGCCTGCACAACTTCAATGGCATCTGTGTATCTGCAGCAGAAAGAAGTGACAACATGAAAGCAGGCAGTTTGTTATAGGCAGCCAGCCAACAGGTTCAGCAGGCATGGTGACAGCACTGAGGGTTCTCCGAAAAACACAGCTACACATTTCCCAGCAGGAGCCCAGCCTGACCCCCGGGTTATCGAACATATTAACAAGGCCATGTGAATGCTCATAAGTACAGTACTATTTTTTTCAGGTGTTTGTTCATTGAGAAGATGCAGACAAAACAGGGTTTAAGTAGAACTGGTATTCTTGTTCAGCAATTTTACACTTTCTTAGAAACTATAGTATCAAGTAGTTTACTCTTAAACTCTCAAGTCAATAAAGAGAATAAATGGTACAGGACAGTAATACGAACATGGAACTAGACTGGTTATAAAACATGACTCTTTCATTTACTGAGGATTGTGGGAGACTGGAACAAACTTCAAGGACATGTTGCTAAAACTGAAAAAGCCTAAGTGACATTCTTAGGACATTAAGCTAAAAGAGCCTCCTGTCATTTACAAACACTGAGCTTTTAACTTTTAAACTTGATAGTTTAACTATGCCACAGAACTCCTGAGACTAGAACAACTTCAACCAGTAAAATGGCTGCCGATTAAAACAATGTGATCTGGAGTCTTATGACTGGGCGAGGACAAAAGTCAGATGCAATCACCAGCAAAAAAACAGCATAGGAAAGACTCTTCTCAGCAGTGTGGGAATAATCAGATAAGCAGCAGTATGGTCACAGAGTGTCTTTAGCAGGCGTTAATGTGTGAGGTAAACAGCACTCCCCAGCTGTCCAGGACATACCCCCGTGAGAGAGAAGTCCTTTGTAGTCACTAAAGAAGAAACAGACCTCACTTGAAAGGATCCAGCTGGATTTGATCAGAACTAATCCACCTACCAAAAGCTGGGAACTCAATGATTCTATTCTAGGTTTCTGGGAACACAGAAATAACTCTTCAGAGGGACAGTTGCGCAGTCTGAAAACAATTACACATAAGTTGATACAGTAATTCATTTGGTGAAAATCTTCTAAAAAGAATAATAAAAACATTTTATCAGCACTTTATTTTTCATTCTTTCATGTTTTGACTACACATACCAATTTTGAATGCATAATCACCTTGCAGGGAAAGAAATTGAAAGGTTTTACATGTCACTCAATGATTTCACGAGCTCTCTCTTTGTCAGAGTGCTGAGAGCACAATGCCCAGCCTGATGGCCTAGCAGTCAAGTCTGTCTGATATACACTCCCAGTGTCAGGGAGCTCACTCATGTCACAGATGGCATCCTCACAGTGCAACAATACATCTGTCTGTTTATCCTCATAAACTGGATGAAAATTGTCTGCGAAGACCTTTCCAATGAGTATAGTGCAGCAGACAAACCAACATGCTCACTTTGCTCAGTATAAACATAATATTTACACTAAAGCAAATTATTCTAGCCACTGCTAATAAAAAAAAACTTTCAGAGAAACCTGGTGATACTGTATTTCAACTTTTTTTTTTCTGCCTGGTGTATATAACAGTAAAACACTGAACTGAACTGAACCTTGGCTCATAAGAAGGGAAGAAAACCGAAACTGGAAATAATAGACAAAGAAGTCTTACTTCAGCTATAGGTAAAGATATTGAAACAATATTTAGTACTTAACTAGATGAATGGTTATAAAACAGACTATTTTAAAACAGTCAATAGGGATTTGGAAAGAGAGCATTTTACTAGAATTAATAAAACAAGCAACAAGTAGAGTTAATAACCTACAACATATGACATGATATATGTAGACTTCCAGAAAGCTTTTTATGAAGTCTTTCATTAAAAAGATGTGGGGATCGAAGGTAATGTGTACACATGGATACAGAACTCTTTGTTAACTAACAGAAAACAACATGCCTTAATCTTAACTTGCACTGACTTGGACTGGGTAGATGTACTGTATTCTCTTTTAGGAGAATGAGCCACTGCACTCAATCACCTGACCAGTTGCAGGAAACCAAGGTAACAGTTTAAAAACGAGTTGGCTGGGTTGGTTTTGAATACACATTTTGGAGATAGGTTGCTGATAACCCGTGAGCAAAATCACCAGAAAGGAATGACCAACAGAGGAACCATGGAACTGAAATTGTGTCATCTGGAAGAGCTTAGAAGATAATCACAGAGACTTGTTTTGCTTTGTTATGATAGTTAGGGACTGAAGAAGTCAGTCAGGAGCTCAAAGTAAGCAAAAAACACTATTTTTGAACATATTGGTTGTTTGAGCTTGTCTGTTTCCTGGGACTGCCTATTTTTGAACATCCTATTACGACACATCCCCTAGATTGTGACAGCATGTAGTTTTTAGTCAAGATGCCCCCAAAGTTTAGCACAGTAACAAAAAGCAAAAATAAAACATCTGTGCCTTGCAGCTATGCCCACATGTGCATTAAGATGCTCCATCTTGGCCTTACCCTGGTGTGAGCACCAGCAGCCTGGCTCTCTTGCGTGTGTAGGTGGAGTGGCGAGCACTGCGCCCATTCTGGCTCTCCAGGAGGCTGGACAGGTACCGCTGGAAGTGCACAGGGCTGAAGGAGGCACAGCCGTCTGGAGCCTGGCAATACATCAACCACCTGCAATCACAGGAACCACTGCCACATGTCAGAACCACTCAGCGAATACGCAAACGCATAGCACGATGCACCACAACATGCAGATCTTACAAATAATAAAAGAAAATGCTGGATATGGGACGAGATTTACAGTTCACGATGTATAATTTTGGAGATGATGCCTTAAAACATTTTTTAAATTGAAATTGCTTCCAATTCTTTTAAACAAAGATTATCTACAAATATAGGAATTATTTGAAATATAAGGAAGGTATCTGGCTTGTTAATAATTCCTCTAAATCATTTAAAAGTCTAAAACAAAAAAACACCTTTAGGTGGAAAGTTTTGACGCCAGAAGAAAAGATGTGAGATATTACAAACATCACTAACCTTCCAAATTCCTTGTTTAGGTTGACTAGGAAGTTGCAAAGATTATCCTTGTGGCTGCTGGGCAAGCCCATGATCACCGTTATAACAATCTAGGGAAAAATAAATGTGCCTAGATTTTAACAAAATTAAAAATATTCTATTGATAAAGAAGTAAAAGAAAAGAGTGAACTTCATGCTCATGTATAAAAATGTGGACTTCACATAAATTTAAGGAACATATGGGTAAGTACAATGGCAAATGTGCTTATTTGCGATTCGGTCTGAGTGGGAACGACACCGAGCTGAATATCGTTCACTGCAACTTTCCAACTGGTTGCGCAACAGACCAGGACGAGACGAGACAAATGTAGTAACCTGTTGCAAGTACTGACTATCCAGCGTCCGCATCTCAACGTGGGGTTGTTTTAATATTGTAACAAACATTAGTTTATCAGTGAATATTTAAATTAACTTAATGCCAATGAATTAGTAATTTAATTATCATATGAGGGAGGATTATGTATATATTTTAATCATATACTATATACTTTAGTCACGTATGCAACTGTATGGTGCATAATTAGTTATATGCAAATTTGGCTACTCGTGACAGTTCTCTGCACCGACCCCTTGCAAACGTGGAGACCCTCCTGTAACGTTTTTTTTTTTAAAAGAGTGTTTGCAATAGAAATACAGATGGATCTTCCTAGAAATAGTCACTTTTGTATGTGTCAATTTTTAAATGAAACTAATAAGCACACTGGATAATAAAGAGTGAATAAAGAGGTACTGCCTATTCTGTTTTGCCAACTGCTCTACTCTTGCTTAAAGCAAAAGACGTCCGAAAGAAATATTTCATTAATACATGTATAATACTTGTCAAATCTGCCTGCCATTCCTGCCCCAGTGATGCTATCTTGTTCACATTCTTTCCTACAAAAAATATTTTTTTTCCTTCTTCCTTGAATGCTTTGTCACTTTTCCTGCATAAACCCCTAAGATGTATTCAGTGTTGTACCAACTGAGAAAAAAAGTGAAGTGCTCTTAAATGTATAGTCTTCACGGTATTGCGGCACAATCTCCCACAAAAAAAGAAATGTGTTCCTGTCTTAATTGGTTTTACACAAGCAACAGGACTCAGAAAGAAATACACAGAAGGGCACTGGTCTGTAAACGGTGCGTGCTGGTGGCAGGCTGGATCATTATGCCCAAGAGTGGGATAGGTGATAAAATAACATTCTGAGACAAAGTTTAGAATCACAATGAGTGCTAGACTTCAATCATGCCTTCATGTACATCAGGCGCCTTCAGATCTGTAAAAATCAACAACTTTCAAGTACTTCCCAAACCTTGAATTTGCTACTCAAAAATTCAAGGATTTTCAAGAACAAAAGGAAGCCGTGATTTTAAAACACAGTACAACACAAAGGGCAAAGAAATTAACTGAATGAGATTGGCTATTCCAACATGGAAACTTGGACACAATTTAGAACAGGAATACACAACAGAGATAAATCAAAGAAGGTCCACAAATCAAATCATGTCTTTTCATGCTGCCTAAACACACAGACTGCCTTTTACTGTAGAAGGAATCTGCAAGATTGAAAATGATTGCTTTTATTTTTTCTGTGGGGAAAAAATAATAATAATACCAAACGGTAACTCCATTGTCTCCCATGCTTCCATTCTTGAAAACCTTTCCGGGGTGCTAATCCATCTCCATCCCCTCTTCCATCCATCACTCTAATCCATCAGCCCCCCTCCATACTGGATCTTCCGAGGTACAAAACTCACATCGGAGATATCTGACTTGGGACACAGTCTGATCCCATGCAATGATCCACTGAAATTCCCTATCTCAGAGTTGGGAAATACCTTCTCCATGGTGTCCTGAAAGTTGGTAGGCGATTGGGAATGGTGAAAAAGGGCTTGCAGGTGGGATCTATCCACTGGCTCGTCACCCACAGTGCTGATAGCGTAATGCTGCAGAAATCTGGAAAAAAGATTTTTTTTTTTAACATGAATCTGATCATTTTAGTTGTCTGTTTGACAGTTTGTTTCTAATATGGTGTTATTTTTTAGTCTGTTTTGGCAGGAAAAAAAAATGAAGAAAGAAATACCAATAATAATAATAACTTTTTTTATTTTACTATTTGAGGATCACAGGATTTAAAAAAAAACTCCATAAAAGGATTTAAAACATTTGCTATAGAAAACTAAACAATGTTCCATGAACAGTCAACATACACAATCAGAATTAGGATCTGGGGTGAGTGGTTAGGGACTAAAATAACACAATTCATTCCAGGCCTGGTACCTAACACTAGCTAGCAGTCTAAAGTAGGGGGTTCCCAACCCTGGTTCTGGGGATCCTCAGACATGCTGGTTTTCATACAGGCCCCAGATTATTTACTTAATTGGACCAACAAGTTGCTTGATAACACAGTTGCAAAAAAATGTAATACATTACAAAATGCAACAGTTGCAATAGGCAACCACTAGCAGGTTCAGGAACTGAAAACAAAGAGTTCAAATTAATCCTATTATTATTTACTTAAGGGTTCAATTATGTAACTCAACTAGAATGAAATTTTGCAGGTGAGGACCAGGGATTGGGAACCGCTGCTTTGGACTGCTGGCTAGTATTTGGTACCAGGCCATGTGTTATTTTCTTTGCATAGATGAATGTCAAATTATTTATCTTGAAATACTAGAATAAAGGAGCAGTAGGTGAACAGACCCTTCTATCCCAAGGGGAGTGGGTATATCTGGAACTTTAATAGAAACAAATAGCTTATTAATTGCTCATTAAACTGATTATCAGAAAACAAAACTGCTAAACTCCAATTCCAGAAAACTGAATCACCATGACTTCACAATGGTCCAAATTTCAATCTATAAGGGTAACCCAGATCCTTTTGCAAGTTGTATTTCTTCACACAAAAACAAAAACAAGTCTGACAAAGACAGCAACTTCATACACTTTCTGAAAGTTTTGCCATCCAAGGTAGGAAAAAAAAAACGTTATTTTCCGGTTTTATAACCCTGTTTCACCTTTCACACTAGGTCAATCAGTGATGCTGTTACTGAGATTGCTGGGAAATGGAGTACTCTGGGCTTTTTTTACTATTCCAAGACTCCACTAAAGATGTAACTTCTGTTTGTGAGTTGGTCCTTCAGGGCACTAAAAGGTATGCAGACGAAGCAAAAAGTACTCACAGCTCCAGCTCAGGCAGCTCTGTGCAGACTGCTTTCAGGTGGCTCTGCTGCTCTCCAGCTGGAGAGGAGCAGCCATCATAAAGTGCACTGAGTCTCATGTGTCTGGGAAGTTAAACAGGGATGCATTAATTTCTTGAAGTAATTATCAGTTCACATATCAATTATCAACAGAAGCCATCAACATTTGTGAATTAGTGAAAGTACCAGTTGCTAGAAGTCATTAGAAATAAAATGTTATCACAAGCATCAAATTTTGCCCTTTTCCTGAAAATTGTAAATATGATTTTAAAAACATTTCTGCCCCTGTTCACAATTTTGACATGCAATTCTATATGAAAATTGAAAATCTGCAAAGATTCGCTTCAACCAAGAGTTCATTTACAGAATAGTCTCTCAAGAAAAATGCCTGAAGCATCCAATCCAAATGGAATGAAACCAGTGACCTGAGGCTGCTAGAAAGGTGTCGGTAAGAAAGTGAATTGTTCTGCACTGCAGTGGGAGCAATGAAACGCCTCAACAATAAGAAAATGGCAATTCACCTGCACTGCTCTGAAAATAAGTAAAGGTAAAAACTTCATATAGGCATTTAAGAAACTAAAACATTCAAAAGGTTACATTTCAGCTTAATGAAGTAGTCATAGCTGACAGTTTCTGCAATTTAAAAAATAAAACCTGTCTCGTACATCCATCCATTTTTCTAACCACTTCTTCTAGTTCTAGTTCAGGGTCGTGGGAGAGCCGATCCCTATCCCAGCAAGCAACAGCCGTAAGGCAGGGTACACCCTGGACGGGACACCCATCAAACGCAGGGCAGACAGACGCACACAGTCGAACCAAGGCCCAATTTAATAGAAAACAATTAAGATTCCCATTTTGTTTTTGGACAGAGGAGAAATCGGTGCATCCAGAGAAAGTCAACAAGATAACAGGAAGAGAACATAAAAACTCCACTCAGATAGCACCCCAGGTCTGGAGTCAAACCCAGGACCCCAGCTCCGCGAGGCAGCACTGCACCGTGCCTCCTTAGCTTGTGTATGTGAGACGTTATTGAAAATGATTTTTAAGCTTTATCTTAAAAGCTACATGAAACATTTACTTAGTGCTTGGAAACAAGAGACATTCAGATCTCAATGGAGATAGCAGGCTTCTGAAAAACTTGAAACACATGGAAAGGGACTACTGTGTATCTAACGTAACAATGGGGATTGAGTAACACACATGGCTCTCTGCTCCTGCGAGAGCTGCTCACGCCGCACATTCTGGAGCACAGGGCCGGAGTCCGACGATTGCTGCTGCCATGGAGACAGCACCTGGGGGAAACCAGCAGGAGAGAGAAGGGACTGAGTCCTCACTGCAGCACAGGCCTGACAACTTTTGGTTCAGTATGTAGAAGTAACATAGGACAACCCAAGACAGATGATAAATCAATAACCATGGAAGCACCGTCTGGTCTGACTTTGTGGGAAGCACTTCAGTACTCAGATCAGTTAGGACAGTCTACTACTAAATTAATGGCACCAGTTTAACTGGCCGGAATGCATCCACATTAAAATATCAATTTACTATCTAAGACATATGCAGAAGTAAATCAATAAACTTCAACAGTCATGAAACAGAAACAAGCAACACTGGAAGGACAACACCTTTATTTCAAAGATCAGTGCCTAACGGCAAAAATTATGTGCCCGAGATGACTAAATCACACAAGCTGTTGAGAGTGTTTTTCCAATGGTGGAGACAGATTCATATACAATACAGGCACACCCGTGTTCCAACACACATACACACACCCTGCTTCTTTGAGAATCCTTACCAGTGAATAGAAATTTCTGTAGCTCTTAGACTTGGGCTGCAATGCAAAAGCCAAACAATGGGAGGCACAATGAAGCTGGAAAGGCAGGTGAGTGAGCAGGGAGCTCTTGTACTCCACAAACACAATCGCCACTACGCCAGGAGAATCCTGCAACAGCACAGACAGAGCAATCCGTTACAGCAGGGCGTGGGCTTTGTTGTGTGAAATCCTTTTCATAGAAGCCAACCACTGGAATTCAGGAAATGACTGCCTCACTGTTTGCAATGTTATGTATCTTCTAATAGGGCCTCTGTAGTTTAGATATTGGTTCAGTACCTTTCTTAAAGAGATCTGTAAAAGGTCCATTTGTCTAATTTGGACATATTTATTGTCCGCTAACATTTCTGCATAATGAGCACAAACACAAATCCAGTTCTTAAACAGAATCAAAGTATTACCAAATTATTCATTGTTTTGTCATTAAATCAAATGAAAGACTTATTTACTCTATTTCTAGGTAATTATTTCCTTATAAGTATTTTAAACAATGCTTACAGGCTAACAGAACATGCTGCCAACCAACACATTTATCCACATAGAAAGGTCGGAAACATTCTAAAGAAATAATAGACTACAATGAAAATAAGTCCTTGAAAACATTTAATTTAAAACAATTCAAGGAAACGAGACTCTATCTAGGAGTTTCTGATGGATGCCCTATAAAAGCTGTGGCCTCAATTACTGGCCTCACTTAAGCCGATAAATGTCCTTTAAAAGCTGTGGCCTTAGTAAAATGTTCTTAGCAATGAATAACTGCATTTCCATAGTGCTTTTAATCCCAAAAGATGCCAACACACTTCTCTATCAGCCACTGATGTACGACTGGTACACGCACCTGGGTGACAGCAGACATTCTGCACTAGCATTCATACAACATAGCGGGTCAGGGGAAGGAGTGAGAAATTATTTTAAGAAGATATTATACAGTAAATGCCCTAGTTTACACAAAGAGTACAGTTTAGCCAGGTCATAGAGGTTAATAATCTTACTAACAGTACCTTGGAATCCTTAATGACCAATAGGTCAAAACCACAATTTAAGTGATCATTGAAAGGACACCAAACTCCAATAGGAAAGTCTGTCAGTCCAAAACTCAGTCCAAAGAGCAGAATGCAAACTGGAACATTAACCTCTTGAACTACACTATAAAGAAAAAAACAGCTTCTCATATGGCAGAGAAGGTGCCCTTACATTCTTGGCACCACTAGTGTGTTTTCATCACTCCATCAGTCACATACTCTTTATAATGAGTATTGTTATTAAACTGCAGACAGACAATAGCCTTTATGGAAATCGGCAGCTACTTCATATTTCTGGAAGAACTCACACAATGCTCCTTTCTCAGCTAATGAAAGGGCTTTACAGTGTGTTGTAAACAGCCTGGAGACTTTAACTTGACAAACTTTCAACATGTCATCCTTTAAAACAAAGAAAGTGGCTAAAGGCCAAGAAATGGAGTCTATGAAAGGAAGCTATATTTGTGCAGAAGCATCAACCCAGAGAGATTCAAGCCAGTGTGCTTAGCACAAGGAATCTTACAAACTGTTTTTTAATGTCAGAAACAACACACTGGATTTGAGCATGGAATTTAATTTGATCCAATACTCCATTATCAAAGAGATACCGATCCAAATTATAAATTGATATACAATACATCCCATACTCTCTTACAATAAAAAAACAAAACAGTGATGGCAGTTTAACTAGTTGTGGGAATATAAGAATATTTATAAAAGAAAAGCCCATGTACCGCATCTAGCCGATTTATTAGCAGCTTATCGATCTGACGATCTAAGCCTTTCCTTGACAGAATCCAGGTATTCGGCTTCAACAACATGGTCAGTTGGCTCGCTGGATAACTGTAGTACCAATTGTTCTTAGATTTAAATGCGTTTCCATATAGTTTCTACTTGTGTCCACTGATATGAATCTCTCTGTTGGAACTGCACAGGCCCACTGGGTTTAATCCTAATATAATAATAATTGTCTTTTTGAGGCTTCTAATGAGCCAATGTTTAAAAATGGCAGAGTCAACAAAAGGGATTTCCCAAATCACTCTTGATATAAATCACCTATATGTGGAGCCTTCTTCAGACTCCTGAAGAAGGTTCCACAGCCAAAATGTTGTCCATTCTCTTTTCAGCATGGATTAACACTACTTGTTTCTTTGCAGCCTACGCATGCTGATGCAGCTACCAAGTTAAAAATATGGACATTTTCATTTTCTTAAAAGTTGCAGCTGTTCTAGATCTGAATATTTGAGATTTGGAAACAAAGAATACATATTTTTAATTCATCAAGTTATTACATCCTACAATTATTATATTTTTAGTTGAAGTACAAAGAACATATACCTTATCTTAAATGACAAAACAAAACCTAGCTTACTCCATCATAAAACTTCAGAGCACTGAAGAGGTTCTTGGAGAGGGTGACGCTGCCATAGTGAGGATGAACAAAGAGAATCCCTTTCGAGAAGAAACTGACTTTTCCTAAAAAACAACAAAAATGCAAAAAATGAGAAATTGAATATTCAAAACCAAATAATCAGAAACAAAGGGAACAATATCTAAAAATCAGAAGCACTGCGATTTGTGCTGGAACTGTTCTCAAACTCACAGACAGCATGAAGCGAGCATGCAACTCCACTAAAACAAATTCAAACACTGGCTACAACAGCAAGGCTCTTCCCAGTGCTCAAGCTGGTCTTGAAAGTGATAAGCATGCAATCGTCCATTTTGAAAGGAGAAGGAAATCTGCCAACATGGGACAGGTTTTGGCCTATAAGCATATATATAGCAGATGCTGGATTGAGATCATTAAGCTACGGCCATAAAACAAAACCTGATCTCTGACCAAGACAATTAAGAGATAAAAAGGATTTGAGAGGATTAAACAGTAAAGCCTAGCCTTAATAACGTCATTAATAAAGCTGACACAAAAACACTTTGAACTCAGGGACAAACTAATGCTGGCTGATAATTCGGTAACGATAATTATCGCGATATAATTTTCCTCGATATAATTTTAATAAAAGTTCAATATATATGTTTATGCTTTGTGCATGATATGTGCATGCGCACAACATACTGCACGAGTGTGGTGCGTGTTGCAGACTGTGCAGCTAACGTGGTGTTGTTTACCCACACAGTGGTGGCTGACAGGATTGTAGTTAGATAGAGTGGAGAAATGAGCGACACTGAAGCAAATGTAGTGCTGCCAATGACCAGCTCGAAGGACGATAATTATCGATATCGACTGATATGAAAATTTTTAGCGTGATAATGTTTTTGGCCATATCGCCCACCCCTAGGACAAACCCAAAACAATTATTGGCTAGACAAAATAGGAGTGTGCAGGCAAGAAAGGCTATTCATAAACTTCAAGGGGGAGGTCACTTGCTGACAAACTCTAAGGAACTTAATGAAATCACATGGCTACCTTTACTCTCCTAAATTGTACAACCACTGAAATTACAGATTTTCTTGGCTCTCTTGATTCCAATTTTTAAGTGGAAGAAATAGTTGATGTAACAAAAACACCTCTGAATGTCAAAGCAAACGGCCTGGATTGATTTGGGATGTAATTTAGAAGTTCTATTGTTTAAAACCACAGTTTCACTGTTACTACGTATGACAGACGATTCAACAAAGGACATAATCCCCGATTCATTGCGTGAAATATCTGTCACCTACTCCAAAAGGGCAGGGATGATTCAGATACCTTGTCTTATCGGCTGTTAAGTTTTAAATTCTGATTTGAAAATAGTACCAAAAATATGATCCACTACATTCTCTAAACATGCATCATCCCATATCCACGTCTTTCAGACATGAGTTAACCTGCCCTGGACTTCCTTCACTAATGTGAGACAACAGCTGAATATTTCATATGCTAATCATGATAAAGAAAAATAATAATAACAATAACAACACTTTATTAACCCTTTTCAATTTCTTGCATTAGGAATGATCTTTTCGCATACCCCAGCTTGCTCTCCATGAGACACACAGACAGGGAGAGAGCCTGGGGTTAGAGGACAGGGTCTGCCATTGTACGGCGCCCCTGGAGCAGTTGGGGTTAAGGAGTTAATTGTTATGAAAAGGCATTGCATCAAATTTAGTGGAAATACATGTTCAGTGCACTTAAAAGTATCCCTGTTGGAGACTTATTTGTAAAGTGGGGTGAAACATTATATGCCTGACCAGAAGCCACAATTTTAACTAATTATGAGAAGTCTGATCATCTCTTGTGGCATAGGGTCATAAATCAGTCATCCTTGCTGTTTGACATTGACCCAGAACCCCTGGCAATTAGCATTAAAAAAGCAGTCTGGTATTATTGGTATTGAGAGTTACTAACACAGACACCTGTGTATCACTGTATGCATTTCTGATTATGTATCTTTCCTACCCCATTTGTTGGAATTGATCTAAGTGCCTGGGATGTTCTCAGTCTACCTATTATTTTGGAAAAAGTACAATCATGCCAAATATAGATTCCACTATTTCAAAGAACCTGCAAATCACAGCTGTCCACTTCACGTATTTGGGTTTAACAATTCCTAAAAACCTTAAGTTAATACTTAAACCTAATTACTCTTTTAAGGTCTCAAAGTAAAAAAAATATGATTTTCTTATATCTTGTGTCAGAATTTAACTGCCTGCCTTACATCCTTACACTGCACATAGTGACAAAGAAGAAAAAGAGGAAACAAAATACAATAAAAAGTAAATAAAATTAATTCAGAGATGTATGACGGAGCCAGATTACTGACAGCCTAAAAAGTCACTAACAAGATTTTAGATTAAATGTAACTTCACAGGCAATCAATTTAAGATTTAAATGCAGGAATAATATGCTGCTGTCTGGTGTGAATTACATGTCTAGCTGCTGAGTTTTGCACATACTGCTGCTTACTAAGAAGAGTATTAGGGAGCCCATAGAGGAAAGAGTTACAGAAATCAAGCCTTGATGTTATAAATCCATGAATCAAGAACTCAACATTGAACATTGATAGACTGAACATTGGTGTTATGTTATAATCTAATTTTTCCACAGAAAGCTCAAAAGGCAGTAGGAGATCAAGAGTGACTCCCAGGTTCCTGACTACAGCTGATGTGTGACTGGGGAAGCCACCATTACTGTAAAACTGTCCAAGCTTTTCCAATTGTCAACTGCTACACATCAGTAAACGTCTGGTTTTGTCACTAGTAAGCTTAAATTGATGTTTCTTAGTTTTTGTCTTGTTAAAATTTTCAAAACATCTTGAATAAAATGCTTAAAAATGAAACTGCACTGTTTCACTGCATTGTTTTTCTTAATTATTAAACATGAATCCTGCTGTAACTGTGCTTCTGTCCACTTTTTAAGATAAAATTTAAGATAAAGAAGTACCCCACCTTCCTGAGGCGTAGCAAGCAGGCTGCTGGAGCAGATCACCGCTGTCTCCCCAGTGGAGAGGGGACTGCCCAGGCACGTCTCCCCGTCCACCTGCATTCAGACACAAAGACCCTGCTCAGCCTGTGGCACCATCTTGCATGTACAGCATCCAGTGCACAGCTGTACATGCAATATTACTGCAAGCACTTCAGATTCGGGACAAACAGACTGCAATCTTTGAACATAATCAAAACTGCAAATCTAATGGTAAGTCATCCAAAAAACATGTCAAAAGAAATACAAAAACAAAAGTTCAAAATTAAAACAGTTGCACAATTTCTGAGACCCTGGTTCATTTCATGTAGCAGAACCAGCTACAAGCAGAAAGATACATATGCAACAAAAGTCAACAGTTAGCTAGGTGGGAATGGTATTCCAACCATTTATCTCCATACTAGGGAGGGTCATGGTAGGAATGACAATAACAACATTAATGCAGCTTCCAGAAATAAAAAATGACACAAGGTGAGAAAAGGTGTTCACATGTAAGGCAGTCACAGAAGGCAGCTGCAAATCAAATGAAAAAGACAAGTATAATCTGGTGGGTAACTTTGTTTCACTTGGGGACCCAGATCTCTCTCTTCACTCCTTCATACACCACTCAGCAACACAACAGACTCAAAGGGCAGAACACTGACTTGCTAATCTAGACAAATTGACCACCGGGAGCAGCGGACTTCACTGGTGAACTGGCTCCAGGGCTGTCTCGCCTTTCGACATCTTACCTTCAGCAGCAGCTGCGCCTGTTCTGACAGTTTAACATCAGTGTCCTCTACCTAAAGCAGAAAAAGGACAAAGGCACACAGCTACATCAAAGAACTGCTACAATCTCAGACACCGAATACTCTCACACATAGAATAAATAACTGCTAACAAAAATAAGAATCAGCCTTTCAATAAAAAGTAACTAAAAGACAGATTTGGACTAAGGTAGATGCTACACAATGGTGGTGGTGGAAGGAAGTCCCAATTACCTGTAAAGTGCTTTGAGTGGAGTGTCCAGAAAAGCGCTATATAAGTATAAGCAATTATTATTAATTTAGAACCTCTGTCTAAACATACCTCAAAATATTAATTCATTAAGTGAACTTCAAAATTAAAACCGTTACATTAGGTCAAATTAGAGAGAACACGGCATTTGTGTTCATTGACACACCATCTTTCTGGATTAAAGGATCATCTCCACCCAAACACCTCCTTCAGTTAAACTACATACTAAACACTTACTGTATACTTTATACAGACAGACAATTTATTTTGAAGTTTAAAGTTTAAGAAGTCCGTTTATACACATTTGATTATTTTGCAACACACCCAAAGACAACTTATTTTAAACATATGGACAACACTTACTAGCCAAGAGATGTATTGGGGAATAGCTGCTGTCAACACCACAAAACAGCTGTCTGAGGACACACTGCCATCTATAGGACAGAATCAATACGTACAGATTTTTGCATTTATTCATTCAATTTTGCCTTTACAGTCACCAACATCTAATGGCATACTTTCTAACTGTAAAAACTGTACAAAACCGCACAGAGTAGAAACAAAATTATTCCTTTACTAACATCTCTAGACTCAAAGTAAACGTAGCAGAAGGTGCAAGTAAGAAAGACAGAGCACACAGAAGTCATCGCACCTTTGAGGTGCTTGTGCAAGTAGCAGCATAGTCAGTACTAAAAACTAAAACTATCAGCTGTAATAGATATCAAAGGAACAAGTGATTCTTGTCATTCAAAGGAACAAGTGATTCTTGTCTTATCAGCATGGTTTATTCCATGCTGATAAGAGAAGAGAGACACATTTTGGCTCTGAAGCCTTCTTCAGGTCTGAGAAAGACAGGGGAGACAGCAAAGTTTAAATAGCACAGAACAAAAAGCTGGGAGAGGGGAGGAAGCAGAGAGGCCATTCAGGAAGTGCAAAGTAGAGAGGGGTGAAGAAAGGTGTGAAGTCAAAACAAGCATGAGAATAGAAAGATTACACTAAAATAAATCGGTCATTGAGAGAAGGGGGAGGGTGTGAACCCAGTTTCAGGATGAGTTTCGTTTCTGTTGTCTTTCTGCTGTGGGAGTTGAGAAACCGTTCTTTGAGAACAGAGACAGAGGGATCAGTGTGATCATGGTCGTCTGAGGTGAAATGAGAAACTATGGGCTTGGAGAAATCTTTAATTTTCACAGCCCTAACATGTTCTCTGAAGCGATCTAGTCTCCTTTCGGTTTCCCCAATGTAGATAGCTGGGAATTTTTTGCAGGATATACAGTAAATTAGGTTTCTAGAAGTCCAGTTGTTAATAATGGTCCTGGGGGTAGAAACCGTGTGTTAGAGTGGCAGGGAAGCACCAGAGGAATGTGGTTGTGAGACCAGGAGTTCCTGATCGAGTTGATGATCTGAGGGCTGTTTTTGGCCCAGGTGTGGGCCCTATCGATAACATGGGTGGGGTTTCCTCTGTTGAAGAAAAAATAATGCATTTTGAGTGCTTGGTTCTGGAAATCCATGTCATCACTGCAGAGTCGATGTAGTCTGAGGAACTGTGAAAAAGGGACAGAATTTGGGGTGAAAAGAGCTGTACAGGAGATAGCTGTGTGAATCGGTGGGTTTGTAATCGAGGTAGAGAGTCGTTGATGGTTAATATAAATATATATCTGGAAAGGGTAGAGTGGTGGAAGATGTTAATTGTATATTTGAGGGATGGGTGAGAGTTAGTAAATTGATGCAGGGGGTGCTCTAGTTGGTCATTAGAGCATGTAGCAGCACCGACGCAGTCATCGATGTTTTGCTTGTAAAGGTCAGGGACAAAGCCAGTGTAGCAAGCGAAGAAGCGTTCTTCTACCCAGCCGATACAAATATAACAACTTCACTAACCCGCTGATAAAAAATATATATGTAATAGATATCTATGGGAATGGGGGAAGCAGGACTTACCTTGCTCTTGAATGCATATATTGGACTCCAAAAACGATTCAGAGAAAACCACAGAGCCCAGGGTCCCTCTCCCACCCAGCAGATCTGGAATGTCGTACACTGTCAAAGATGCCTGAGAAGCAAGAATAAAACACTAAATAAAAGTGCTTCATGCTACAGCACAAAACAACTTAAGTAAACCGTTTGCAGTTTGACAATTTTTGCTGAGCAACAGTCATGATTTATTACAAAAAGAGCAAACTGGGCCCTGCACAGTATCTGAACAACTAGAAATTTCTCCAAGTCTGATAAAATTAGTTTGAAGGATATGATTCATTTAAGTTTAAGAGATGCCATCACTTTTAAATTCTGGATTACAAGTGTTCAGACTCATCACAAATTAAATCACAGAATAAATATAACTGCCGGAGAAAACAATGAGGAACAGCTTGACACTCCTATTACCCTATATGCAAGAACTGCAGTCACAGAAACTTGCTAAGCACTACACAAATTATAATCACTATTTTGTCTGGAGCCGTTTGTATTTTAAGAGTAAATATAATGCTTAACAAACTAAGCAACAAAATACAAACTTTCACAGCTAACATCTAGCAAACATATTCTATGCCATTATGGTTATTGCAAGATCAATTACATTTTGAATATGGACACATACATGGGTGTAGTGAACCCTATGTACAAAGTCTAATCAAAGACTTTAGAAGAAATGATTCAGCAAATGTGCAGGTGTCTCAGTTGATAATCAATAGAGATTTAATGCATTTGTAGCCTGAAAAGCCTTTCAACAGCCTATTCTAATTTGTTCTATTCCTTAACTAAAAACTCTGTAAAGGAACAGCTCTCTACTCACAGTTTTCACTAAGAAATGACTGTCTTCATTTTCTAAAGGAATGCACCTGGAATAAAAATAGTATAAGAAAACACCTCCTTCTAAACAGACATTCATTTCATAATCATCTTTAGTAAAGACACTAAGATTACTTATTTTCTCACAAAAAAACACTTGCCTCCTTAAGAAATTATTAATCATTTTTTTCTGCACCCCAAAAGTAAAAATTACATTTCATTACTAAAACTTTATGATGACATGAACATGCATCCTGTACCATAACAATTCAAATAACAGTGCATAACAGCTGGAGCAAAGGGCTTAGCTGATTTATTCATGTTGGCAGATTAATGGTTTCCGATTGTTCTTTAAATAATGTGCTGCTAACACATGAGCATAGTTGCAAACACCATTATCTTGAATTATATTGGTTCAATATGGTTAAATGCATGAGATATTTGAGAGACCTTAAAACCATCAAATTCAATAAAATAATGTAAACACCAACCTTCCAACATTATTCACAGCTTGAATGTCAAACAAAATTTTAGATCTGAAATAAGAAAGAGTTGTTAATTTCTCACCCTGCTCTTTAATTAGAAACCTAAGGCACCAACTACAATATAAATAACAGAATTGACATTACTTTGTTTTCTAAATAATTTCTGTTGGTAAAATGCTGTTGAACAGAAGAATATAAAGTTTAAAAACAAGTAGAAGCCATTTAGCCCATATAGCCTGTTGGTTCTTGAAAGAAGTAAATGCTGCTTAAGATCTAAACTTTGTGTTCATACAGAGCTTTTCAAATCAAATACCTGCCTCGTTTAAACTGTGCAATTTTAAATGTAAAAAAGAATCTGAAGGCTGACACAAATATACAGATACCTGAGAGCTTTTTTATACTGGGATAGGGAATGCAAGTCCAAGGACAACTGGAATGTCTGCTCTGCAAGATCCTTTGCCTGTTGAGCACAAAGACACTTGTTTGTAAATCCACAAAAATTAAAGTCACATTTTTCCATTAGAATGTGATATAGTGTATAATTCAATAGCATCATTAACGAAAAACAAGGCAAGTTATAGACTACACAATTTCCCTTTTGTAAAACAACTGAATAAAAAACAGATTTAATGACAAATTAGGCTTTGACTAAATGTGAGTGTGTAAATTTCTCTGAGCCTGGGACCTTGCTGCAGCCCAATGTTTTCAGTAACATTACTGTAAAAACAGGGGTGAGTACATTTTTACTTTCTGCTTTTTTGAGAGATTCCCATAGCATTGTGCTTCCACAATATCCTAGAATCCATAGACAGCTTACCCAACTATGATTGCTCTGATGCATATGGTCAGTTATTTTATTGCCTAACAAGTTATTCGTAAGCACCTGATGTCAAATGAGCAAAAGTGCACAGCATGACCACTGCCAGTGAACGGAGGTTGAGGAGCTATAAAGTTTGGAAATGGATACATTAATAATGCAGAAATCAGCCCTACGGAAAAAAAAAACCCAGCAACTGCATTAATCTGCTTTTGGTTACTATAACAAGTCAATCATCCGATGGCTTTAACAATGAGCAGAAAGCTGGCACCAGCAATGGAGCAAGGTAAATATTTAAAATTGGACACTTAAATATTAATATTTAAAGTACATATTTTAGTAAAGGAGGACATCAACATTCGCATGGCTCTTTTTCCATGGCAGGAAGAACAAAGTTTTTCAACAATGAAGATGTAAAAGGTGGGGGCTTACTAACGTTTTCTACAAAAGCAGAATCGCCTTTAACCGAGAAAAGACTTGATGGATGACATCATGGAATAGTGAGGCTTCAAAACCATAACCAATCAGTCGCTACAAAGCTTCTCACTAAATAATAAACATGCAAAACGTGAGAGTAAGAGGTTCTACTTAGAGAAATGAAATGTATTTTGGTTCCCCACATTCATGGATATTTTATTTTAGGGGAAATGCTTTATAAATGCAAAAATATTTTAAGACAAGCACCCCAAATAATTTTCATGAAAATGATGATTTTTCAGAAATTATTTGAAAAAAGATTTTAACCTAACAGCTATCTTTATTAGCATAACAAACAAAAACACTGTGGACAGTATGTGGTGAGTTCAGGTGCTGCACTCAGGCTTGAAGCGCTTGTCTGCACCAGGCTGCAGTCTGTGTCAGCTGTCACACTCACCTTTGCCAGACTGAAGGTGCAAGAAAAGCACTTGATGCCAGCCAGCACCGCCTGCACTGCAGCTTCGTAAATCTGAGACACAACCCTGCAATCCAGAGAACACTCTTATACTCACAATGTCACTGTTCACAGCAGTCTCTGACAGGCACGTGTTTAAGAAAACAGGAAAAATACAACATTTATATATGAGTGTATCATATTTACATCATTCACAACGAATATGCTTTACAATTTATAAAATGGATGCAAACATGAATGATTCCGATGACTATGTTGGTGATAACAAACATGTCTTCCATGATGGCAGACTTCCTTACATAAGCTCAGTTTTCTTGTTTTGCTCATTGTCATTCCCTGTGAAAAGAAAAGAGAGCCACCTCAGTCAAGTCCAACCATGACCACAACTGGTAACACAGATTTATGGGGCAAGAGATTCCAGCCAGAAAGTGTCAACAAGTTCAGGACTGTGCAGGTCAGTTCACCCAACAACTTTGTCTTTTTCCAGCTATGCTTCTTTCCAATTAATTGCCTGTTTTTGACAGGAGCTAACTAGTAACATGTTAAAATAACTGTGCAATGTGTAAACAGCAGATCACTGCTATACTCCAGGAGAAGGTTATGACTGGTTACAATGTCGAAGTCTTGCTAAACAATGTTGAACGCAGTCATAAAGCAAGTGACTGATCAGGGAAATAAACCATCTTTCTGGATTATTAATACCATCGCTAGAGTTCTTTTTAACACTGCATTCTGAAGTTACAGAACTAAAGGTCAAAATACAGGTGCTGAGAAATCAGCTAACATACCCAGGTATGGTACATGAGTGGTTCCGAAGAAGCAGGTCCGTGCACACGCCAGGGGTCCTTTGGGTGCCACACATTGAACTACCTGCAATTCCAGAGGAACAGCACATCACTATAATCACCGAAAAGTTTTTACTGCTTCCCTACTAATGCAACAACTTCACACACATTTGAACACATGTGCTTTCAAATTACACTGCCTTTCTCCCATTTTAACTGGTCAGAGAGCTACTACCAATCAAACAGCAGGACAGGCTGGTGGTTTCTGACCCTACCAACCTGTTCTATGCTTGCATAGCTGCAGGCAAGACACAAGCTCTTGGAATAATCATATCTTTAAGAATCACTTGTCACTGCATTTTTCCAAATGTCACAGTCTAAAACCAGCCTTGCATTGAATTCAACAAAGCGATGTGTTCGGAAAGCCAGTGCCTTTAAGATGCAGTGAGAAACCCTTCTCTCAAACACCAATGATGACAGACAAGACTCCACTTACCATGTGTTTGGCAGCAGTTCCTTGAGGCCCAGTGTTTCTGACCTGGTGAACCTCTGAAGGAAAGGTGAAACAGTAGTTGTTCAGGTCATCTCTGGTAGAGTGGCTCCCAAACAGCAAAAAGGGCTGCCTGCTTTTACTGACAAAAATACAGAACAGGGAGAGAATTTTTATTGTGTGGGGTGTAAAGCTGTACAGGAAATAGCCGTGTGAATCTTTCCCCTGCAACAGTACTCGCTGCATCGCCCGTAAATATATACCCAATATCCAATATGCACATTCAAGGTCCCTCTGGACAATTCTGGACCACTCACATGACATCTTGTACCTCTAGCAACCTTATTTACTGCATCTCTTGTAGAAAATGCCCAGGTATTTACACTGGGGAAACAGGAAGGAGACTGGGAGATCGTTTCCTTCTAAATCCTCTATTCATTTGCAGCTTTTGACTTTACACCTCTCATCACCTCTCTCGACATAACACCACCTGAACGCCCACTCTGCTTCTCTTCTGCTCCCACCTCCTCTACACTCCCGGCTTTTGTTCTTCCATACTTAATCAACTTCCGGTTTTCCTCTCTTGCTCACACCTGAAGGGTTCACAGTTTCTTTTCTTCTCTTTTCAGCTGGAATAAACCTTGACTTGTTCCTTTGCAGCCTACATGTGCATACTAGCAGAAGCCTTTAACATTAAACCTGTTAAATGTGAAACCTAATGGAAAATAAATAAAAAAAACACTTGCAGCCTTCCTGCTTTTAGTTTGCTGGAGGCTGGGCTATGTCAACACACTGTTGTTCACCTGGCAGGACATTCCAAATACATCCTGTACATCCTGCCAAAGAGATACCACTCGAACAATGGGCTGGGCCAAGTGTGATGATCTGGGCAGGAGTGTCTAGTCCCTACAAAACTCCACTTCCAGTCAGGCAGCCATCAATCACTACAAGACGCTACACTGATAAAGTCTTGAGACCTCACTTGCTGCAATTCATTGTTAGCTGATCTGGAAATGGTAGCATTCCAGCAGGACAGCACATGTTCTCATGCTGCTTGTATAATAATTACTTTTTTACAAGCTGATGGCCTATTCTCCAGAGATAAGCCCACTAAAAATATATGGAATAAGCTTTGACAATACAATGTGTTTCATTTATGGATCAGAAAACAACGAACAGCCACATGCTTGCCCAGGCTCTCCGAGAAGAATATAAGAGGACCCCAGAACACATCTGCTCCTGGTGGAAAGAATTTGTCAGTCCCAGTGGTGGTCACATATAATGAGCCTATGACTACCAGTAGATAATAAAAGTCATGAGTCGTTCTCTCATACCTGTGCAATAAAATAAAGGGCACTACCTGTAAAAATATTTTGCCATTTTCTTGATAATTTTGAAATCCTTGTTTCCTTTGATGCTCTATATAGTAAAGCCAGCACTACTAGATTCAGTTTTTACTAGTACTGAAATGAAGAATCCCAAACCCTTTTCTTATTTGTCCAAACAGTGAGATGGGGTTTATAACTCCAATAAGAACCACAAGTAAATAAAACAAATAAAACCATATACAAACAGGTAAGTATGATGTCAAGCATGGCATTCAGAACAGTGCTTACCTTTTATCAGTGATGCGGCTAGAAATCAGGCCATGTGAGAAATAACTGCGGAAGGGCTAGAAGAATGAAAACAGCTAATTACAGAGATTATATGTACAGAAATAAACTAATAGCTTAAAATGGAGTGTTTTTTAAAAAGTACTCAATATTTGACAACAATTGCTATTCCACCAATGGATTGGTCTGATAACTAGTCTTGTTAGGTTCATTAACAACAGCTAAGTGAAACAACAGCATGAACAAGGCATCCAATCTACAAACATTACTTGAACACAAAGGCTGTGTTACTTTCAGCAAAGTTGCCTGCTGGTATACATGAAAAGCTGTCTTCTTCCAGCCCATGGAAGCAAGAACAAGAATGTGGGAACAATACTTCTGCTCGGGTTACCTCCCCAGCCTGTGCTTCAGACAGCTCCAGGATGGATGAATGGCTTTCAATGTCAAAGCTGGAGTAGAAGCTGAACCACTGTTTTTCAAAGGTCACCAGACCCTGGAACAATGATGAGAAAACCCTGTGATTCACACTGGCCATCATACTCTTTTAGCAATATGATTTCTTGGCTTCTGACTGAATTAAAGCATGAAAGATGACATTATCAAGATCCCTAAGACATTGCAGCTTCAGATTCTGTTAAAAAAAGATAAGATTCAATTTTATTCACAATACCCAAACGCAAGCTTTTACCTGAAAAATCTGTTCTTTGCTTGCATGTTGTCTAAACTGAAAAGTACCAGTTTTATATACAGTGTTGTAAAAAAGTAAGTACACCCCATGAAAAGGTGTGTTTTTCCAACATTTTGCATGTTTGAATATTTGATCTTAATTTCAACAATATTAAAGGTGATCTTATTTAACAAATAATGAAAATTATTCTTTGCAATTATTTATTCAACAAAAAGTCAGAAATGCAATTGTCTGCTGTAGAAAAAATAAGTACACCCCCTAGCTTCAATAGCTGGTGTTGCCCCCTTTGGCAGAAATCACTTATTGTTGGCGTTTTTTGTAATTGTCTATCAGTCTCCTACATCGACTTGGAGAAATTTTTGCCCACTTCTCCTTACAGAACTCCTTCAACTGTGTGATGTTTAAGGGCTTTCTTGCATGTACTGCCTGCTTCAAGTCCTCCCACAGCATTTCTATGGGGTTAAGATCTGGGCTTTGACTTGGCCATTACATAACCCTTCCTTTCTTCTTTTTGAGCCACTCTTGTGTGGATTTGCCTGAGTATTTTGGGTCATTGTCTTGTTGCAAGATGTTGAACCCTCCAGATTTCGTTTCAGCTTCAGCATTTTGACAGATGGCCTCACATCCTCCTCAGGTACAATGTGGAATTCATGGTTGACTCTATAATGGGAAGCTGGCCAGGCCCTGAGGCAGAAAAGCAGCCCCAAACCATAATGCTTCCACCACCATGCTTTACAGTTGGTATGAGGTTCTTTTGGTCAAAGGGAGTTTTTGGTTTTCACCAAACATGACATGTGGCACTGTGGCCAAACAGCTCTAGCTTTGTCCCATCCGTCAATAGCACATTGCTCCAATAGTCCTGATCTTCACCTAGGTGTTGTCTGGCAAACTTCAGTTGTGCATCTATATTCTTTTTGGAGAGCAGTAGCTTCTTGACCTCGCATGTAGGGCAAAGCTGTGCAGTCTCTTTTGGATGGTTGACTCATACACTTTGACACTGACTGAGCCAAGACTTGCCTGTGGTTTCTCCTGGGTTTCTTGGAGACTTTCTGCAGTATCTTTTAGTCAGCTCTCGGGTTGAATTTGGTGGGACAGCCTGGCCTGGATAGATTGCCAGGTTTCTGATGTTTATATAAGGCAGTGCCCTCCAAGTTACTCTCTAATGATGTTCTAATCATTTGCACCTATTTTGGTGCACCTGATTCTAATTTTAGGCATTTGATGCAATGATAAAGTTAGTGGTGTACTAACGTGCATTTCTGTTGATTTAAAAAGTACAAATGAGTGCAACATTTGATTTTTCAATGCTATTTTTCAAAATTAGATCACCTTTATCTATCAGTATTGCTCAAATGACAATCAAATATCCTTTTGTCCAAAATGTAAAAAAAGAAACCTTTTTCAGGGGGTGTACTTTTTCACTGTATTATTGTTTTACTTTTTCAGGAGCTTAGCTTTTCTCATATACTTCTTCCCATAAAAATAAATTAAAATGTGAGAAACTAAAAACTAGTTAAATCATAGCTGGAAAAATACCAAGGAAAAGTAATGGCTTGGTGCAGGACAGCCTACAAGCAGTCACTATCAGCGACTCACACAAACCCATGAAACCCCCCATTTCACTGTTACTGGCTCCAAGAGGCAAGTCACGCTTTTTACCACATGCAAACCCCCTCTGAAACCACAGACTGGATCTACCCTTGGCTTCAGGCAACACCTGAATGAACACATGATAGAATGAGACCTGCAGACGTTTACAGCTCTTAAAAGCTTCACATTGTATTTTTGCAGCTCTCCGCATGCAAAAGCTTGGCCACCCCTGGTCTAAAAGGATGATTTTAAATTGATTACTGAAGCCTATTAACTATCAAAGCTATCTGAGAGCTTAATCGTATACAGCATTATCATTATGCATTATCTATTTTTCATCTGCGCAACATGAATAGAAGTTATCTATCTTGTGTAACTGTGCATCATGCCCAGATTAAATTAGGTGAAGGTAACTGGATAAAACCATTACAAATAGGAAACACATTCAAATTATCATTTCAAATGGATACACACCACCCCTCCAAGCCACATCAGCATATAATTTAAAGATGTCAATGTCTGCTGAAACAAAACAACTAAAAAGCTGGCTTCCTGTTGCAGTAATAAGTGAATTTGTAGAAAAATAAAAATGTATAAAAAATATTTAAATGTAACACTAAAATATAACAAAAATATAGAAATAAAAAGCAGTATAAAGCATCTAAAGCATACAAAATGAAACTGCAACACACCTTAAAATGACTGATTTCATGAAGAAATTGTTTCACAGCATTAGAGAACGGCACAGATCTAAGTTGTGGGAGAGCAGAGAATCGCAGGTGGTCTCTGCTCACCGCTCGCTCTTCGGAGTTTGCTGTTTCATCATCTTCAGCTGCAGCCCAGCCTGGCTCTTGCAGGCCATACTGCACAGCAGACGCCTGTGCTGCCCTAGCTACACTGGGCCAAAATTAGAACATAATGCCCCCTGCCAAGCTGCCTTTACCTCTGTAAGCAGAATCTCCAGGGCAACGGGGTCCACTTTACTGTAAATCTGCCAGAGTGTCTCGCTCACATCAATCAGCTGGAAAACAAAGCACAGAAAGGTCCTCAGCACAGACCAGCAGTCAGAAATAGTTAGCTCCAATAGGCAACAACTGGTGACCTCGCTAGTTATAGAACATCCTTCCTGGAAAGAAGGAGTGACAAGCACCAGTGTTCTGATCACCTTGTCAGCGGGCTACATTAATATTCCTAACCACTCCAGCTCCCTGCATGGGCAGTTCACAGGTCTCCAGTGTACTTGTATAAACTTTCTTCTTCAGAACACTGCAATGGGCTCGGCTCGCTATGCAACTTTCAAATTCTACTTACGCAACAGACACTGGCATGCACTACAAAAGAGAAAAGGAGTTAAATAAGGTGTCACCCTGCCCCTCCCTTATTGAAACAGTGATCCTCATTTTCCAACACAGGTGCGAACAAGTTGCTTTCTGCTCCTGTAGCTATACTGTTATGTAAAGGAGAGAAAATAAGACAAAGTGCTATTGAGACTAAAATAAAAGGTACTGATCTCAAATAAATATTAAACATAGTATTTAAAACACATGGAAAATCCAATCACAAATATCTTGCAGACAGTAACAGAACTGATAAGACTGAAGTTTTCTCTTGTTTTTCCTTAAGTTCCAGTAAGTGACAGCACTGGCTGAAAGATGGACATGAAAAAAAGAATAGAAACTCCTTCATAGGTAAGCCCATATATACAGTGTGCATAGAAAGTCACCACCCCCTTTCAAAATGTTCACTTTTTGTTGCCCTAAAGCCCAAAAAGAAGAAAAAATCAGACCTTTTCCAATTTTATCTACTAATTGTACCTTGTAGCATCCAAGTGAAAAAATAAAGCAAAATTTCTGAAAAAAAGAAATTAAAAAGTAGAATAACTGGGCTGGATAAAATACTTGGTGGAAGCACTTTTTGCTTGAATTACAACCTTGATATCCTGTTTGGATACATCTCTATCAACTTTGCACATCTATAGGGAGAAATATTTGCCCATTACTCCTTACAGAATTGTTCGACCTCAGTTAAATTGCATGGCGACTGTTGATGGACTGCCCTCTTCAAGTAATTCCAAAGATTCTCGATGGGATTGAGGTCAGGGCTCTGACAAAGCAACTCAAGGACATTTACCTTCCTGACCTTCAGCCACTGTACGGTTGCTTTGGTGGTGTGTTTTGGGTCATCGTCATGTTGACAGGTGAACCATCTTCCCATTTGCAACTTCCTGGCTGAAGCCTGCAGGTTTTCTTCAAGAATTTTCCTGTATATTGCACCACCCATCTTCTCTTCTATCTTGACAAGTGCCCCAGTCCCAGCTGAAGAGAAACACCCTTACAACAGGATGCTGCCACCACTGTGCTTTACTGTAGTAATGGTGCTCTTTGGATGGTAAGATGAATTGGGTTTTCACCAGACGTACTGTTTTGCATTCCTGCCAAAAAGTTCGCTTTTGGTCTCATCTGACCTCAGCATCTGTAAATACCCATCTCCTGACTTGTGCCTTTCCACAACTTTATCTCAAAGTTCTTTTGAAAGCACTTTTCCACCCATAGTGGATTCTTTGCTTTGAAATGCACTTCCGAAAGTGGAATCCTCTAGGAACAGCTACTTTTACTCGGAACTAATCAAAATCACCACAACTGATCACAGGCAGCATAAGTTTGTTGTATGATCTGTAAGGTGACTGGTTATACCTGAGCAAGTTTACAAATGCAATTGTAAGGGTGGTGTTCACTTATCTAAATAAGGTATTCTACTGTTGTAATATTCATTAATTTTCAGAATGTTTTAGAATTTTATTTTCAGTTGGCTAATGCGTTCATGTGTGTAAATAAAAATGAACAAGCCTAATTTAATTTGATTTCATTTTCAGAGTGTTATACAACAGAAGGTACACATTTTGAAAGGGGGTGGCAAGTTCCTACACCCACTGTAAACCTTCACTATACAAGACAGGATTTTAAAATATCACTTTTCACACAGGCGATAATGAGTAAAGGACACACAAGTGCCAGAAGTATAAAGTGAATGACAGCACCTTATGTTTCATTGTAAAGAAACCACCTCCACCGATTCCTTCAAGGGCAAAGGCCTGGATGATCGGCCACTTCTCTACGACAAACATGTCGAACTTCTGAATGTGTCCTGGGAGAAGACAGCACATTATCCATGAAGTAACAGCAGGAGAAACCAAACCTAAGATCTACAGCAGAGAGCATTTACGATTAAGATATAAAGGGTTTAGAGGGCTAAAGTAAAAAAAACACATCTTACAGCAACACTAGAGAAGTGAGAATATGAACACAACTTGTCGTGCTGTTTTATAAACAAAATTTAAACTAATGTGTAACAGCTGGACATTATTTTACATTTAGTGTATTAATAACTCAAAAAGACAGGAAAAAAAGACTTGAGCCTTACAGTATACAGAAATAAACGTGTTAAAAAAAGAAAAACTGCACACTACCCCTGACCGTCCAGCAGAATTTCAGGAGCTCAGTCATTTTGTACTGTAACCCAGTTCCAAATGTAGTAGAAAGTTATGCTCCTTAACTAAAGAATACCTATTTACTCCTGTATTAGAGACTATCCCTTTCAATAAGTCTTACCGTTAATCAGTAAAATAATCACTAATTAATAGTATGACAACCCAGTGGCAGGATTAGAAATATTAAAATGTCTATGCCTTAATAGTCTCAGCTTCCTACACACTCCATTTTGATGCAATCATCTAATTAATTGGTAAATTAATCCTAATAATTATCAAATGAATAATTAAGGAACTGGCTGCCATTCCTTAAATGTTGTAAGGGAGGAGATATCCACAGCTGAGCTGAGTCTTACCCTGAGAGCTGTAAGGCACTCCGATGCGGCTGCAGTCCTGAACCATGTTCACAAAGCTGGAGATTTTGAACTCCTCCGCCGCCTCCTCATCTTCGTACTGCCCACGGACACAGGGAAGACAGACAGTAACTCACAGGTCTGGACCTTAGTTCTTTCTCTTAGCACCACCACAGTGAGGAACCTCTTGCAACACATGCCACACAGGAATACTGACCATGCAGCAAATAAGTAATTGAGCTAATTAATATACTGGTGCCTCCAACACGCATCTTTCACATTCCAGTAGAAACAAATTAGAAACACTCTGGAATGTAGTCATAAAAGCCACCAAATTTACCATCACGATACCATTTACAACGTATTTGCTTCTTATTATGAACATAACCAAGATGTAAAGTGGTACTATATCTATCCAGATCCAATTCCAGTCTCCACAAGAAACGTGCTCCTTTTCAGTCCTGTAACATTACAGTATTCTTTTCTAAGATGTACAGTGACATATGCCTTCATGAATATGGCCATTGCAGAGGTTGCCTAAAACCGATAATAGGAGGCACTTTCACTAACTCAAAGGGTGGTGGGAGTCTGGAACAAGCTCCCCAACCATGTTGTAGAAGACGAGCCCCTGCCACCCTGATTTATTTCAAAAAGCAGCTGCATGAAACCCTGAGATCAATTTGTGTCCTGCTAAATGTGTTGAATGGTCTCCTCTTATTTGGACCCACTCTTATGTCCTTAGGAGCTACTTATTTTTAAGTTGTCTCAAATTTCCATATGGCACTGCAAATATGGACAACTTAAAAAAAAACACAAACTGGACCTAAACTACAACACAGTTACAATTCTATACTGAAGTCCATGAACACAGAGGGTTTCTTTAAATTATTTCTAAGGGGCATTTCTTATAATTAGGTACAGCACTGTGATGGAAGGATAAAAAAAATACTGTCTAAACCTAGGTAGTCCAGCTAAAGTACATTACGCAGCTCTCACATTCTCTCTCACTCCATTGTTATTCAGCAGCATCAACTCATCAGCTATATTATTTGCCCAAGCGGTGTGAAAATGTGTGTAGGGAGAGCAGCTGTCATCAGCCAGCTTGCAGAAAGAGGTCTGAGATCAAGCACAGAAAAAGAACAGCTTTAACATTGAAGACACAAATGTGACTGGGCAACAATTCTCCATGCAGAGGAAATTACAAGGACAGAATCCAGAAACAGAACTAAACCAGACAGAAAGAACAAATCAAGTGGGAATACAAGATGTTACCAACAGAAAGTAGTCTGCCAACTTTAATAAGTAAGCAAACCAGCATACTCAAGACACTTACAGCAGAACATATAAAATCTCAGCTAAAAAAAGCTAAAAACTCATATCAGACTAATACCGATACATAAATAAGGTAAAAATAAACAAAAAATGATTATGCATGTTAATAAATTACCTTAGGCCTCCACAAGACTGCAGTCTCACATTCCTGTCCCACAGTAGGGATCATTAAAAATATACCTTAATTCTGCCAGGAATATTTAACTATTATCGTTAATCAAATACATAAAAATAGACTCTGAAACCACACCTATCAAAGATCAACAACAGAAGTATTTCTAGCTGTGAGAAACCTGCAACATGAAGAAGTCATCTGTGCGATTGTTAAGTGCTGGCAGTAGCTCACCTCAGTCTCAGTCATGCAGTGGAAGTGCAGGTTTCTCCAGTGGCCCACATACGGCAGCAGGGAGCTATAATTCACAGGATTGCAGTACAGGTGGACACTCTCTGCCTTAATTAGCAGAATGACGTCTATAATGAAAACAATTAGAAATTTTGATTAGAATATGATTATGATGTGATTAGAAATGTATAGTTTTAGATTAATTATAAACCTGACAGCCATGGTATAATTAATATTTATTTAAATATTTAGATCAAGCTGATATTCATCTCAACAACTATACATAGCTAGCACAAATACAATGCTTAAGAACTACCTAAGCACTATTCATTGAAATTATTGAGATTTATTTTGTATTATGAAGGCCTGCCATCTAGTGGAAAAATATAGATTTAATCAGCATTTAGTAAGGGATTCCGATTCAGTAAAGTATTTTTCCCTGCTGCTTTACTGAGATTTGAGATTCGAGATCAATGACTTCCACTAAATTGATGAGTAAATTAAGAACATCAGGGATGGAGTCGTGTCCTCTGACCCCAGAACTCCTAACTCTGGTCCTGTAGAGAGACACACTTGTGGGTTTTTGTTCAATCTGAGCACTTAATTAAATAATTGAACCTTAATAATAGGTTTAATTTTAATCCTCTCGTTATGTTCTGTTTCTAAACATGTAGGAGTTTTCCTTTTAACTATAGCACTTCTTAAGTAGCTTAAAATCTCTAACCTTTCAGCCAAAAACAATTGTAAAGGTTCTATCCCACCTAGAAGGATACAGTACATGCAAAAGCTCAGCTGCAATAGCAGCCAGCACATCCCCAGGACTGGTAGCCCCTGCCATCACTGTACACACCATCGAGAACCTCCTCTGGGAACTCTGAATGCTCCAGGTCCAGGTTTGTCTGGTTGTACAAGCCAAAGAACAGGTAGTTGGCCAGTTCGCTGCATCCTTCATTGTATCTGCTGTCAATGCCTGCAGGCACAGAAAGTCAATTACACATACAATCTACACACTGACATGCAGAACATATTCTGGGCTCTATGGCTGACCACAGAAGCATGTTTCTGTTTGTTCACTCTTCTGCATTCACAAGAGTTTGTCAAGAATCAAGACAAAGTTAAAAACGAGTGCTGCATACAGTAATGAGGGATGATCAATGGATTCAGACTGCAGTCAGTACCCTACATTTTCAGATTAAAACACAAACACTGCAGCCTCAATGTCTATTAATGATTTAAGCCACAATTAATATCAGTATTAGAGGGTACATTCTTACTCTGATTGTATGCATGTTTTACAGCAAAAAAACCAGAAAAACAATTTAATAATTTCACAATTCCACATACCCACTCCACTCTCAATTCATAATGTTCCAATCAGGAAGGCTTCTCAATGAATGTGTGTAGACGTAGCCCCCCCCCACTATCTATGTATCCATTTATTTATGCATTACATACTGTTGTTGTGATGTCACGTATTTCATGTGATTTTATCTGACTTTTACATTTTGCTTGTGTGTTTTGTACTTTTATGGAAGAAGCTAAAGACATTTCCACAGTAGTGGAAAATAAAGTGTCTATCTTATAAACATCTACAGTACAGTCTGAACACTTTCCTGCAAATAATGAACTTCTCAGCGTCCACAGGGTGGCATCAGTACACAACAGCACAGCCCTGCAGGTCACCGACAGCTGGCAGGGTCTATTGTGAGGATTATCTGAATGCTCAAATACTCTTGACTTGCAGAGACCTAATTACTACTAGAACTGTATATACAGGGTTATATCTGGCCATCATGTTGTTTTTCCTCAACAAACAGGAACATGCACTGCGTCCGATTCTTGCACACTCACATTTCAACACCAGCACATCCAAATGCTGCCTAGGCCAAGTCATGCGTGCTTTAATAAAAGTGTTATATGGCACACCAAACCTCAACTGTACCTTCTAATCAAAATATTTCACATGCTCTGTGTATTATGTGGAGATGTCTGCACTTAAACACAATGAACTTCACTTCACACGTTCCAAAAAGCAGTACTGCCAAGTCAGCAGGGGTGAAAATGTGAATGCTGAAGCCCTATTTGACAGTTAAAGAACAGTGAAAACTGAAGCTGTTGAAACAGCTATAATAATTTTAGGTTCAAGCGGAAAGATTTGTCGGCATGCATTATCTGCAAATGAACAGGTCACATTAATACCAGGCTGGAAAACAGAAAGCAAAATCACACATTTTTGTTTTTCTTTTACTTTTTATGCATTTGAAGCTAGTTTTATTTAAATCTATTACTGATTTTAGCAGCTAAAACAAATCAACACCCGTTTCTTGTTAACAGAATCCCTGTCGCATTAATTATCATACGGAAAAGTTTGACTAAATTAAATGTTCCTATCATGTCAAGCCAGAGCTGAGTCTCCATACCAAGTGTCATCTCTTTGGTCTTGATAGACTATAAATTCTGAATTAAATACATGACCTTCTCTGCATAAAGCTACGTCTGTATTTCTAATTTTAAGTTGTTGTTTGAAGGAGGTGAAGGAGTGCCAGAAGATGTGCACCAGCTGCTCTGAATGACTTGTGTCAACCGTGAAAACATAGGCTTCGAGACGAGGTGTTACAGCAAATTTTCAAGAGGAAAAAAATCTGAACTAATCCACAAGCCATTTTCGAAAATATGTTTTGGGTCTGTCATTAGAAATATTTAAAAAGTTTTGTGTGAAATGTGTCACTATAAATTCATTTCACTGTATTCAGGCTAAAATTAAAGATATTAAAAGCATTTTGCAACCTATTTCACATTTTTCCCTTTTGAATAGTGTCAGAAGTGATGTGACAAAGCAAATGTAAAGCAAAACCCCACTCCTTCAACTTTAATGAAGTCACTTACATGTATTTTAACTAAACATTTTTGTTTGGTTTTTCCCCAAATGTCTTTTTGGTAAAATGATGAAAGAGTAACTCAAGCGGTCAGCAACTGTTGAAATTTCTATTCTTGCAGTAACTTCTGGAGTTCGCTTTGCCTGGACTGTATATTTCACTGAATTACTGCTAAAGCTGCAACAGCCAGAGCCCTGCTGTTGGTGTTCTGTTGCCAAGCAACACGCAAGATCTCTCTGCCAGCAAATACTGGTTTATGACTGAAACGATTACAAACAAAGAGCTGCAGTGAGGAGGTCAGGCAGGTGGCTCGATTGAAGGCTGCATATTCCAAATTATCATGAACAAAAAACGGGTATGCCCATGGCCATATCCCTCTCCTAACCATGAAAAATGATATGCTTCATTTATTCATTCTTCTCAAGTATGCCTTTTCCAGAACTGCACAGCATGTAGGAGCATGTCTTGGGCGCCAGGTGTGTGCATTCAGTTTATGCATACAGACTCACCAACTGGAACACTCTGCTCTACACTAATGTCAACTCGGCCAGCCTTGTGATCCTGTGGGTTCAGGGTAAATATTGGTACAAAAGACTGTTTTAGTCTGATAACACATCAGAATGCCAAAACAGCAAATAACTCAATCTTAAAATCTCTAAGTAAACTCCATTAGTGGTTACTAAGAAGTACAGATTACTTCACTTCTGTCTGTCATCTAGCCAAATTAAAGTTTTATTAAACCTACAATTACATATAATTGTTTTTAATTTTCATCTGCTTAGCGGACTCACCCAGTATACACAAGATCCCATCTGGTCTGCATTTGCTGGCATCACTCAATAAAGCCTGTACCTGACGCAGACGGGAACAGCTACAGGAGAGAAAAAGAAAAGCATCACCTTCATGAACTTCTCACATGTAGCCATGTGAGCTGCCATTATTCTCTATAGCACGTGGAACAATGTTTTTAAACAGATGTGATTTTCGACAGCTTGGATGTGAAATGACTAGGGATAGCCCAATTCACCGAAATGGCCGCATTGCAAATCAGTGTCCTATAGCACCCTTGCATATGAAACAATAAATAGTACTTTTCCTAGCAACTGCATGGCATCATCATAACTAATCAAAAACAAAAACACAGACTTTTCATTTTCACATTCATTTTTATGTTGAATAAACAGCTTGAAGCCTACCTAGTAACAGGTGTTTCGATAGCTAGCACTTGCAAAAGAAACTGCAAGCTCTATATTAATGAATTAATACTAAACTCTAAATTACCAGGTTGGTAACACACTCTTCACCAAGGAAAGAACCTCAAGCCTCCCCAGAAAGATGTATTCACACTCTTGCCATCTTTTACATTTCTCACAGAAATACATTTGGAAAAATGTAAATATAATTAAGATACTTTGACTCTTGATATAATAAACCCTCATGTTTATCATGACACGATCCAATACTTGCTTACCTACCACAAAACTAAAAGAAGTGCTGAATTGTGCAATGTGGCCTGTTTTGTGATTGCCACCACTGACAACCCATCCTAGATTCTGTCTTTCTATTAAAAACTGAAAAAGTTCCCGCACTCATGACACAGATGCACTTAGCAGCTCTTTAAATTATATTAAGTTGCTCCTGAAGCTCTGTGTCCTGCTCACTATTTCATGGTCCAGGATGTGATTGAAAGTTTGCGTGGTTTTTAAATACTTCCTAAAGACTATGGCATGCCAAGAGTTTATCTCAGCTTCCAGGGATCCAGGGAAAACAATCTTCCTTAAGGAAGTTTGATTTCAGAAAATTTATCAGCTGCTGCCACACTCTTGGCTGTCTGACAAAAGAATTACTCTACACCTCTCTTGAGCTCCCTGCACAGCCACCAGCTAGCAGATTCTTCAAATCCACCGGTAAAGAATTAAAGAAACTCTGACTGCCAAGGTGCAACCACATCTGTTCAGGACACACAGATTACCAGAATCACAGAATTCAAACAATTCAATAACGCTGTGCTGTCCCTGTTTCAATACATCAACCGGAGTGCTTGAGTGAGATACACTGACTAGAATATTCCTAAGGAAATGCCTCTGACATACAATCATACTGAATTACTTGACTTTAAGATTTGAATTTGCGCTTACCACAGATCACCAAGCCAAGATAGAATCAACATTTGATAGGCCATTAATTTGCTTACTTGTGTATTTGATATTATAATTCAATTCAACTTTTATATAGCACCTTTCACAACAAGGTTGCTGTTACGACCCCAAATGTCTAGGGGAAAAGGGGTGTAACATTTAGGATAATTCTTTTGGAAGCAGGGGGGGGGGTTTGGTGAGGGACTAGGAAGTATGATAAGGGTAAGAAACTAGAGTGGTGCCAAAGGAAAGAAAATAACAAACAAAAATGGAGCTGGCTAGGACAGTGAGGGAAAGCTAATCTGACTACAAAAGAAACCCCAAAACACACGGTCTTCGGTGTCTTCAACACCCTAGCTAACCTGCACTGACTACCCAAAACCATACGAGACAAACGGCACTCACCCGTACTAAACTAGTGTACTAATACAAAATCAACTAAGTGTGTAAAGTGTACCCAACAACCTAAACTAACCTTATATACAAAAGTTCACACAAAAACACAAGTGAACCAGGAAGACAAATAAGGGAAAACAAGAGTAATAAATAGGAGCAGGGTACAAAAGAACACAAAAGGTGAACATGGGGCAAGGTAATGACAAAACAAGGATGAACACACAAACAAACGAAAGTACAAAGAAACTAACATAAATCCAACAAAACAACAAAGCCGAAGCTATACGAAAATACACACACACAAAGCAAAACAAACCAAAACGAAGCCGAAGCAATAACCAGGAGCGAAGCGATAACCAAAACCGAACGGGACCGAAGTCAAATGAAAGGCCTTTTCTTTCTGAAAGCCTCCATGTTATATAGTGAATAAGATGTGTTCTGATTGGCTGAGGCTAATTAATGACATCATACTAAAACAGTGGAGTGATGGTGGGCCAATGGGGAAGGGAGAACAATCAAGGGTCAGCAGTGTGGAACATAGAAAAAACACACACAGAACACACACTGGGACGTAACAGTTGCCCCAAGGCGTATATATAATATACATATATATATATAATATGCCCGAAGGCATATTGTAAGACATCAAGGTTGTAATGGATCCACAATCAGTGTTCTTTTCCATCTAGTTTGGCTTTATTTGAATTGTTCGACAGATGTCGTCTTGGAAAAAAAAAGGTCTATTAATGTATTCCTTCCTGTATATTAGCAGATAGTATATAACCATCCATCAGCTACTGTGGCAGAGATGATTAATTCTTCAGTCAGGTTTTATTACAGTAGCTTGACTGACAGGTTGATATTAAGGAGAAAAATGAAAGTTAATCTGGTTTTATAGATCACGTGAGGCTTTTGTGAAACGCCACCTGTAAGTAACAGCACACAGCACCAAAACGTTATCCTTTCTGGCGAAGGATATCAGTTTGTTAAAATACATTTTTTACTATCCGACATTAACCCTTTCCCTGATGGAAACAGCAAGAATACAGCTAAGGGAAGAATGGAAGTTGAGATCCTACCCCTGAGCAAGGTCCTTGACTCAAACTGCTTCAGTAAAATCCCAGCAGTATAATGAGCCCTCACTAGATTGTCATTAGACCTGAGAATTTGTTTGATTTATCTTTTTCAATCAAAAACTAAGATACATTCCTAAGTGTTGTTATATAACTTCTGCAACTAGGCCTAATTTCAGCTTAAGTCACCCTTTTTATTAATACTTAGGATACGAACAGAAAAGTTGCAAATGACAGGAATCTGCAACTGTAATCTAGAATCTGAAACTAATAACTAATGTCCCTCTGCGCACTATCATCTTACTGCTCGTCTCAAGAGTCAGATCCTTCTCATCCCACACGGTGATCTGGACCAGATACCGAATGCCATCTGGGGATCAGACAGACATCAAGCTCTACATCTCTCACGATTTGCTATCTGCTCTCATAGACATAACTTAAAACACAGCAGGTCTTCGTCAATGCATCTTGATGGCGACTTTTATCTGACAATGAAAAACACATTTCGAGGTGTGAGTCTTTACTCCAACAAGGGGAATTCCTGATCTTCATGCTACAATTCAGATCCAACATGTCACAGTTTGTAAATTTTTCATGTATTTTCATCTGCTGTTTATTTTGTCTTTTCTAGATTTCATTTAATCTTTTCAAAGAGCAGAACATTGCCCTTGAACATGTTAGCAAACAAAAAGAGAATTAAAATAGAACATCCAGATATGGCTTAGAAACCACAGCATACCAGCTCAAAACAGCTTTTCTAGTTTGGAGCTCTAACTCCATAAATTCACAAACACATTCTGTCAAAGAGTACCCAATCCATCAGCCCAATTTCTTCCTTTTCACAAAAATGTTTTATAAACGCAGAAATTCCTAGTTTAGACAGTACAATGGTAAACGAATGACATCCACATAACTGGAATTTGATGAGATTCAACAGCTGAATATCATCCCTCCTGGAATTCTGCAAAGCTGTGAAACGAATCCCTTGACCCTAGACTGAAGACAAGCCTACATGTAGTTAGTGCTTGAGCCAGCTCCAAACCAAGGCAGTAACATAGTTATGCATATTTATCTCTTCTGCATGTATTGCTCCCAACCAGATTCAGCTCAATAAGTACCTTGGGGGTATACCAACCTACATCTAAGGTATACAAGTATATGTTAATTACATAAATTGAATAATCTAATTCTTTATGCGTGTTTGCCTCATAATTTATTTGGTATTTTTATCCGTGGGTAGTTTCAGAAATTCAGTTTTCTGAAGAGCTCCCACTTGAATTGGCCTATACAAGACCGGTGTGTTTAACTGCAAAGCAGAGTAATGTAGAGTAAAGGATTTCAAATCCTTTGTGATGATGACGACGGTCAAGTTCAAATAAAATATTATATGTCCAATATAATCCAGTCTCGGGGAAGATATGCAGACAGTGAGCAGCTCAGTGTAGTGAAATGATTCAGTCGGGAGAGTCTCTAGACAGCTCACACAGGAGCCCACTGGTCTTTCAGTGAAAAAATGTCGATTATTAGAACAAAAAAACAACAACCAGTGAACAAAGAAATATAGTAAAAAATACTGTTGGATATATATAACTTTTTTATATACTCTGTTTTTGCCTGTTTTCTCTCTACATCACTGGACTTTAACGAGTTATCACACCGCGAACGTGGTTCCTGAGCCCGAACCGCCGAACCGCCCGCCTAGCCCGTCTGCAGAAGAAGGCCCAGGGAAACACAGGCTCCTGTCGGGGAAAGATGCGACAACACCTTCAAACAAGCGCCGCTGCCCGCACAGGCCCGGGACTCGGGCGGTGAGGCAGCCGGCGGTCCGGCCGGGACGTGTGACGGGACCCGCCGGACCCGCCCACCGCCCAGAACAACAACACCGTCCCCGGCGCCGAGGGCAGCGCTCGGCCTCCATCCCACCGCGGCCGGGCAGGGAAATGTCAGCTCTCACCTGACGGCGGGGCTCAGGCACTGGTATTTCCCGTTCTTCCTCCGTATGCCTGCCATATCTGCAGCTCACGTCGTGAAAGAAAACTGCAGTGTTATAACCCTGGTCGTCAGCGCCAGCGGAGACAGCTCCCCATCCCCAACAGCCCTGGCGCAGCTGGAGGACGAGCTGGCGAGTATGGCAACCGGCGGAACCACTCGCCCCCCCACGGCGAGCGAAGGCACCGCTGTACCTGTTGTATCGAAATTAAGGCGTACTAATGCAACAATAGTGAGTATAGCTACACAAACTATTTTTTCAAATCCATGTTAGTCCTTTCTTGCGGTTCTTCGAGAGCGGCAAAGTGGCTGCGTCTCCCCCTGGAGCACGGAGTGGTATAGCCCGCGAGTGTCCCTTGACAGCGGACGCGACTCTGCGCGCTCACGAGAACATCGGGGGCTCGCTCCTGCGCACGCGGAGGACTTGGGGAGCAGGCACATTGGGCAGTTTGTTTCGATAACCCCCAGTTTAGTCAGTTATCTATTTCCTGGAATTCCATGAGGATTAATAAGAAATAATTTAAATTTTCAAATTTACTGAAATGTTCTATCCATTACCTGCTTTCCGGGAGTCACAGCACACTCGCTGCCTTGTGTATGAGACAGCTCATTTAAACTGGTGTCTTTCAAACATTTAAACAGTGAACCTCTGACCGGAGACACTCGTGAAACCGGGGTTAGCGCTCTCTCGGTTTCCTAACATTGCTCCGTCCAGAGACGATGTTGGTGAAGTGCATCACAGGCGCAGACACGGAACAAGCTTGCTATATTTCGCTCCCCCATTAACCAAAAAAAAAAAAGACAAACGCCACGTTATACACAAATTAACGCGGCGGTAAAAAGAGATCATTGTTTTCTTTGTAATAGGATGAGGTCATTCTCGGCTATTTTTGTTTACAATTTCCGCCGAAGGTGAAGTGGGTATTTGCTGCAGTAACCCTGGCCCTGCAGGAGGAGAGCGGTTGTGTATGATGTCCAGGCTGCTGGCAGCCCTATGGAAACACTGACCGGCCGATGGACACTTCGACACTGTCCTGATGGACATGTCCACTATCATTGGATTGCAACAGCTGTACAATAACCCAAAAGTCTCCAATTGTTTTTTAAGACTTGTTTCGTATGTATTTGTTTGAAAAATAAACTGTGGCCTAGGGGAGTATTATGTACTTGATCATGGTGGGTCAGTTGTGAAACTGTGCAACCAGGGGATCATTTCCAGTTAATACACTGCTTTCAGTTTGTTTCCTGTTACCTTTTTCGACCATTAAACACACGATGTTCAGATCTTCTGTACCTATTCTCCAGCATAAGTAAGGGTTACATAATATAATCTACAGACCGTCCACTAGTGATACTGCACAACCATATATAATGTGGTTTATATATTTAAGACAAACAGAACAAAGTAAGTAACAGAGTAAGTAAATCAGGCCCCACACTGAAGCCACAGTGTATCTCTGTATGTAGTGGAGCTAGTTCGGACACGGTGACGTCGTCGCCCTCCTGCATGTAGCAGGGACTTCAGCTCACTCGGCTGGTTCTCTGTTGTGTTACGCAGGAGACCTGGGTTCGCACCCAGGTGTTGTGGGACAAACTGGCGAGGGCACGAGCCCGCGCGGAACTGTGACGGTCACATGTTCAGTCCAGTACAGTAAGAAGGCGTCTCGCGTTACTGATGGGAATGAGCAGATTGCTGTGCTGGACTCCATATTCTGGACGACATCATCTCTCTGCAGTGAAGCTCTCTTACTCTCAGCATCAACAGCGGTGGCAACAACCGTTTGAGCCTCTGTACGCACCGGACAGGGAAGAGCGCTCTTTAGCTTCTTTATCCAGTACAGGGTGGGGGGGCAGAGCCTATACCTACAAGCAATGGGCACAAGGCAGGGTACACCCAGGATGGGACACCAGACACCAGCACGCACACAATCACACCAGGACCAATGTTTCCAGAAGCCAATTAACCTCCCAGTTAGTCTGTGGGGTGTGGGAGGAAACTGGAGCACCTGGAGGAAACCTACATGAAGATGTGGAGTACACATAAACTCCACACAGACAGCACTCTAGGTCTGGAACTGAACCCAGGGCCCCAGCGCTACGAGGCAGCAAAGCCGACCACTGCTCCACCATGTCGCTCTAAAGACCTGAGAGGGTGAATTTGCTTCTGCCAGTGTGAGTCTGCGGCCTAACAGCACTCTTTCCAGCAGTGGTGCTGAAGAACATGACTCCGGTGCCCCATGAGCTACAGGATTCTTGGGAACTGAGTGACAGCCTCTAGGGTGCAAATCGTTTTTTTTCTTGGAAATCTCATGTTTGACATGTTTTATTGAATGTAATGCTACATGGTGTTTGTGAAACAGAAAAAAAATGAAAGGTTTCTTACAGTTTGCCTGCTGACAGAGGCTTTGTCCTCTGCAGTGCTGCAAAAGAAACAAAGGGTGTAGTATTTATATTCAATTCAGAAGCTAGCACCAGCATTCTCTGTGGAAAGTCAAGGAGAGCTTGTTGGCTCAAATGTTTCAAAGCAGACATTCACAAAATACCAAAACTGAGAAAACATCTGAAATGGAAAGGGACCTGTAAGCCTGTAAGCCAGTTAATTTAGACGCCTGAAATCTGTTTCCAGAGACCCTCAGAATCGCACTAGGACAGATTCTGAGCTTTTCTCTCAACAGAGACAGGCCTGCCGCCAGGAGGAATGACCACTGATTCCTGAACTTCCTGCCAGAGGCCCCTCTCCCGCTGACCTCGTGTCCTCTTTTGTTTGTCTTTTCCGTGCTGAGGAACCAGGACCCCCTCCTCCCCTCTGAGTAACCCTCCGCCTTTCCTGCGCTACCTCCCACTGTACAGAGAGTCGTCCCCTCTGTTGGATATCACCCTCCTTCCTCCTCGACTGCAGTCCCACATCATCAGATCTCAGGAGTTAAACATTGCTGTGCCAGGGCAGTGCTGGGATGGGTGACTTCGAGGGAAAATCAGGTTACTGCTTCAAGAGGTGGCGCTGTCCCCTCTGGACAGATATTCCAGGTGTGGTGACTGGTGACACTGCTGCAGGGGGGGCTGTCCTTCATACGAGACTTAAGAGTGCAATCTTGACCATGCAGTAATTAAAGATCCCATAGCTCTCTGCATAAGAACACCTGTGTTAACACCAGGTCTGCTGGCCTCCCTAAAATTTCCTCTTAATTCAGTTGGTGCAGCAGTTTCCCCCTCTGTCGGTGATCCACTGAGGAGCAGGGATTACTGGGGGTGCCAGTGCAGAACAGTCACTGTGTGTCACCGAGTGGGGGGTGCAGCAGGTCCCCTCCTGTGTGTGAGCACTACAGAAATGCATGAGCTCATGGTAACGTCCTGCGAGCTCCTGCGGCAGCTGGCCTGGTGAGAGGAAAGCTGCTGCAAAGCCATGACAAAGCATGGGGAAGAGCAACAGAGCTGCATCTGAGTATAACCCCAATGAGGCGGATGACAGTACAGAACAGTACAGAAATCCTATATTTGCATTTATTGACATACTGTATACAGTGCCCCTATCCATCTCTCTTGCTCCTATTTCCTTTTCAGTTGAAGCTGCAGCTGCCCAGTGTTTTGAGGACAGACATGTTATTAATTCAGGTGGGGAGCTGCGTCAGCATGCGTAGGCTTCAAAGGAACAAGTAATAGGTTACCTCCATGCTGAAAAGAGAAGAAAGAGAACACAACCTTTTGGCCATGGAGCCTTCTTCCTCACACTGCCCTAAAATTTCCATGATCAGTGTCTACATGTTGGAGCAGACTGACACTGACACAGTCATCAGCAGACTTAATGACATGTCATTTCGGCCTTGGAGCCTTCAGGTGTCTTCTTCTTCTTCTTCACCTGAAGAAGGCTCCAAGGCCGAAATGACATGTCATTAAGTCTGCTGATGACTGTGTCAGTGTCAGTCTGCTCCAACATGTAGACACTGATCATGGGCCTGGAGTGGATTTTTGGGTTGAATGGTGGAACAACTCCTGCCTTCAAAATAATGTCAAAAACCAAAGACATGCCCATTGATTACAATAAGCTAACCTTTTGAGGAGTCTGATTTAGTCTAGTGTTGAGACAGAAGAAAGCTGACCAACCATAGGTGCCTCTGAAAGCTGTTGTGGGGCCCAGGGCTAAGATAAGTCACGAGCCCAACCATTTAACTCTGTTCCCCACTATGGGAAACACTTGGAACAAAACTAGAAAATTCAGAAGTGAAAATTCCACTGTGACAGCATGGGCCCAGAAATCTGTGCGCTTAGAGCACATTATTTAGACATAAAAAGGTTTTCTTCCCAACACCAAATAATATATTTAGTGGAAGTCTTTCATCAAACTCGCTACACTTACACAGTGTTCAATCGT